CGGATGGGTGAAACAGGTGAAGGGGATTGAGAGCACACCTTGATGAGCACTAAACAGTGTATAGAATCATTGAATCACTATATTGTACACCTGAAACTAATATAACACTATATGCTAATTATACTAGTATTAAAATTTTTTAAAAATGAAACTGCTTAATTTTCATGAATTAAACAAAACAGACAGGAGTCTGGACATGATGACCAATGATGAAGCCATCAATTTGTATGTGGTAATTATCATAAACTAGATCTGATGACCAATTTGATCTTGGTTTTTAAGGGATAAATTAGTTTTATGGGATAAAAGAAAGCAGGAAGAAATGGCTGGGAAATTATTTAATTGAAAGGAAGAAGGAAGGAATTAAGCAGCTTTTTAAAAAAAAATGAATGTTAAAAGGCCAAAATTCTCTCGTATTATGATTAGCAGGAGGAAAACAATGGAAAAGAAATGGAGACTCATAAAAATCAAGCCGCTTTTCTAAAGTATAAGTCCACACACTCAGGAACATGTATAAAGAACAAAAGAATCAGAAAAATGACAAGCGACAAAGACAGAACTTTTTACCAAGAGGAAAGAGACTTATATGGTATCATGAAGAAAAGGCTGTTTGTCATAACACTGGATTGGTCTACCAAAGAAGTTTGTAGAAGCTAAGATCTTGGAGATGCAAAAAAAGTCATAAATACTTTTCTGTTCCTGAAAGCTTTCAACACTTGCTTGCCTAAACCTTGCAAAGGCTTGGACCAGAAAATCTCCCAAGTTCCCTGGCAGTTTTCAGTCTGCCAGCAGCCCAGCAGTCTTCTGAAGATTTATGCCCAGACCCACACATGCCTCTTTCAGAAAATTAACACTAAACCCTTACATTTGCAAGGTGCTTTTTGTTTATCAAAATGTTTTCCCAAGGAACAGGTTACCATGAAATAATGCTGGGATTTGGAGTCAAAACTAGGCTCAAGTCCTGAATCTGCATTTTTTTTTTAAGATTTTATTTATTTATTTGACAGAATGAGAGAGCACAAGCAGGGGGACTGGCAGAGGGAGAGGGAGATGCAGGCTTCCTGCTGAGCAGGGAGCCCAACAAGGGGCTGGAGCCCAGGCCCCTGGGATCATGACCTGAGCCGAAGGCAGATGCTTAACCAACCAAGCCACCCAGGTGTCCCCCGAATCTGCATTTTTATCGACTCAGGAGCCTTGGAGAAATCACTTCCTTATATGTAAAACAGGGAGAATAGTAACGCCAACATAACAGGGTTGTCAGAAGGAAAAAGTGAGATGAGGTGTGAAAAGGTTTTAGAAAATTCTTAAATATTAATACATATATAAATTGTTCATTTATTGCTGTCTTTTTCTACAGTACCTTGATGTAGGCAGAGATCCCTATCGCATTTGTAGACTATCATGGCTGTTCGTAATTACCACTAAGTGATTTGGCCAAGACGAACCTAGCACCTCTGACGCAGAAAACCAGTTATCTTTCCTTGACCCCACATCACTTGTCCAACAGAAATATGTTCTAGCCTTGTGCTCTTCAGATGGGAGTCACTACAGAAAACGCCTCCCCAGCTCCCCAATTTCCGTGTTCTGTGTTAAGTAGTAAGGTTGCATATCTTGTTGTAGATCTTTTCCACTTCTAACTTTGGTTCAATATGTTCTTCCAACTCAATGTTTTTTTGTGGGTGAAGGTTTTTAAAATCTTTGAGACTTTTGCATGCCTGCATGCACATGTGTGTTTCTGTGTTTACCAGATTTGGGAAATTTAGGTGTACATGATAAATACACACAATCCTGATATTGGGAGGTCTGAATAATGGCCAGAAACTCACCTTTCAGTCCACATTAGCTTTGAAAGCAATGCTAGGATCTCGTTGAACTAGATGTTTGGCATTAAGACAATGAAGATGGAGAAAAACCAACTCTTACACAATGTAGGTCAATTGGAAACCTAGAGCTTATTGAAAAGGACCAAGAGCAAGAGGAAAAGAAGAGAAATATAGAAAAACACAGTCCAGCTATTTCTGTTCCTCCCAAATAACCTCACATTTAAAATAACAAAAAAGTGGATTTAATAAACAGTAAATACAGCTATAACAGACTGATATTAATGAAGCAAAATAGGGGTACAGATAGAATTATCAATGTAGACTGCAAGGCAAAAAAGATTAAATAGGATAAAGAGGGCTATCATTCGTTGATATAAGATAGACTCACTAAGAAGGTATAATAGTGCTCAGTTTTCATGCACCAAACAAGATAGTATTGCAATAATATAAAGCATAGTTATCAGAGAGTATATGAATTTGAGAAAACCACTATCATCATAGAAGATTTGAACAACTCGTTTCTCAGAATTTGAATTCAACTGAGGGAATTTTATTTTAACAAAAGAAGAAAACACTTTTTTTTAAGAAAATCTGTTCACATTTTGACCAACAAAGAAAATCTCAATAAATTTCCCCCAAATAAAGGTAATAAAGACCATATTTTCTGAATGCTAAAAATTAAACCCCATGTGGTCAGCAACCTTGCCATTTCTGTTCACCTTTGTACCTCAGCACCTAACACATCCTTTACCACGTTGTAGGGATCCAGAGTATTGGTGCATAAGAAAGAAAGGAAAGGTGACCCACAATATAACTCTAAATCAACATGAAAAATATATCCTCCCCCAGGATCATCCCTTAGAAATTTCAGTAACATGCTTAAGAATAATTCTCACAGGGGCATCTGGATGGCTTAGCTCACTGAGTGTCTGCCTTCAACTCAGGTCGTGATCTCAGGGTCCTGGGATCCAGCCCCACTTCGGCAAACTCCCTGCTCAGCAGGGAGCCTGCTTCTCCCTCTCCTCCCCCCTCGTGCTCTCTCTATCTCTGTCACTAGACAGCTAGACAGCTAGACAGCTAGTGTCACTCTGACACTAGACAGCAGCTCTCTGTCTCTCTCAAATAAATAAAATCTAAAAAAAAAAAGGTAGCCCACGGCGCCAACATTATTAACCCACCCAAGAACTACTACTTCATTTAAAAATATACAAATGGCTTACTATAAAACTTGGCAAGAGATTTGATTATGCATCTCGCTGAGAAGAAAATGGAAATGGAAGAAAATATATGAAAAAAATACTACATACCATTTTCATTTAAAAATATAATCGGGGCGCCTGGGTGGCTCAGTCGGTTAAGTGTCTGACTCTTGATTACAACTCAGGTCATGATCTCAGGGTCGTGAGATTGAGCCCCACATGGGGCTCTGCTCTGGGTAAGGAATCTGCTTAAGATTCTCTCTCTCTCTCCCTCTGCCCCTCCCCCGCCCCCCCTGCCGTTTTCTCTCTCTCTCTCTCTCTCTCTCTCTAAAATAAATAAATAAATATTTAAAAAAGGAACAATCAAAACAATCATGAGAGAGGTGCCTGGGTGGCTCAGTCGTTAAGCATCTGCCTTCGGCTCAGGTCATGATCCCAAGCCCTGCATCGGGCTCCCTGCTGTGCCGGAAGCCTGCTTCTCCCTCTCCTACTCACCCTGCTTGTGTTCCTTCTCTCACTGTGTCTCTGTCAAATAAATAAATAAAATCTTTAAAAAAATCATGAGATACTGTTTTTCATCTATCATATTGGAACATATTTTAAAGTGTGATCATTCTAGTGATGGTGAAGCTATGGAAATAGGGCAACTCTTGAAGGTTATTGGTGAAATTATAAACTTACACAGTCTTTCTGGAAGCAATATGGTGGTACTCATCAAAGTTTTAAATGTGGGTACCATTTGAACTAACAGTCCTCATTCTAAATATCTGTCATGGAGAAATTCTCACACATGTACACAAACGTATGTATGCAAGAGTTTTTCGGGGTCGCTTCATTTTTGTTTTAAAGATTTTATTTATTTATTTGACAGAGAGAGAGCAGTAGCAGGGGGAGCTGCAGAGAGAGGAGAAGCAGGCTCCCCACTAAGCAGGGAGCCTAATGTGGGGCTCAATCCCAGAACCCTGGAATCATGACCCCAGCCAAAGGCAGACGCTTAACTGACTGAGCCACCCAGGTGCCCCAGTATCCAACCGTTTTAGTTGCACTATTTTATTGGCAAAAAATTTGAGAATCACTTACGGGGTGCCTGGGTGGCTCAGTCGGTTAAGCATCCAACTCTTGGTTTCAGCTCAGGTCATGATCTCAGTGTTGTGAGATTGAGCCCTACCTCAGGCTCTGCGCTCAATGGGGAGTCTGCTTCTCTCCCTCTCCCTCTACTCCTCCCCCTACTCATGCTCATGCTCTCTCTCTCTAAATTAAATAATCTTTTAAAAATATTTAGAATCACCTAAATGTGTATAGTAGAGTATGGTGGACCCATATGATAAGAATACCATGCACCATAAGGTGAAAAATAAGCCACATCTATAATATGAAAAGATGTTCACAGCTGTATATATATTAAGTGTAAAATACATATTGCCTTTATTTTTTTTTTCATATTGCCTTTATATATATTCATTCTGAGGCCATTTTTGTAAGAAAAAAAATCTCCAAACCTCTATATAATTAACAATTTTACCTCCTTGCTGGTTTTTTTCTTTATTTTTTTTTAAGATTTTATTTATTTATTTGAGAGAGAGCACGTGCACGAGCAGGGGGCGGGGCAAAGGGAGAGGGACAAGCAGACGCCCCACTGAGCAGGGAACCAGTCGTGGGACTCAATCCCAGGACCCTGGGATCATGACCTGAGCAGAAGGCAGACACTTAACTGACTGAGCCACCCAGGCGCCCTTTTTTTTTATTTTCCTTTAAATAAACCTTTGATTGATTGAAGTAAAACATACATACAGAAAATTACACAGGGAGCTCACCTTTGGTACCACCGCCCAGATCTAGAAGTAGAACCATTATCTAGGAGCCTGGAGTGTGATGAAAGGTCTAAGCTAGGTCCAGATGTGTGAGTTAGCATATGAAAGTCATTGAATAGTTGTCAGAATTGGATCAGGATCTCGGAGGAAAAGGTCTAAGGTGAAAAATGCAGAAGGCTGAGGACTTGGGGTGCCTTACGATTGAAGTGACAGAGAATACAGTGGTCTGCAGCAGAGACTCGGAGAAGGATGCCAGAGGTAAGAACACAGCCCCTGAAGCAATCTGATCACATCTGGCGCAGGAGCGCCATGCCCGCCGGCCCGGTGGGATTCCTTATGGAGGTACTTTGTGCCCTGTGACCCTGTCGCTCTGGCCACAACTGACTGAACCAGAGATCCAAGCCCCAGGCCCTGTAGGAGCGATATTGGTCAATGAGTGCCTCATCCAGGGACCCTCCTCTCTCTTAGGATCACACACACACACACACACACACACACACGGCTTACAAAGTAATAAATCAACACAGAAACAGAAACATAGAAAGAAAGCAGTGGCGAAATGTGATTGGGGAGAAGATCAGCCCCAAAAGTGGGCAGCAGGTCACTGGACAGGGAAAAGCCCCAAAGCCGACTCTGTCAAGGGAGAGGCCGAGAAAAGTCTGTCTCCCCTGGAGAAAGGAGCCGCAGTGCGTGGGAAACCCTCCCCTCCCTGGAAGCCTGGGTCCGTGTCATTGCCCTGCCCCTCCTCGTCCCCGACCACAGCCACAGATAACCCCAGCGTGACCCCTAGGGCTGTCTGGTCAAGGCTGGAGTGCTGGCGGCCCAGGGCAAAGTGTCTGAGTCACACTTCTTGTCACATCCTTTCACTTCCCCAAGTGGTTCCGACGCGAAAGGCCTTTCGGATTGGCTGCCTCCAGGTGCCCGCGCCCCGCTGCGGCTGGCCGGCTGGGGGTCAGGAGCCCATAAATACTTCCGGCTGCCGAGAGCGGCCTCAGACTAGGCGAGCTGCCGCGCGCGCCGCTGCCTGGAGCCGCGTGGGTAAGTGCGCCCGCCTTCAGGAATTGACGGGCTCCCCGTTGGCGCCCAGCCCACAGCCACTGCTTGCCTGTGCTTCCTTTTACCCACTTTCGTCAGACATTTGCGGGCAGGGGACCCCAGGGGAGGAGAAGCGCGCGATGGGGCAGGGAGGAGGGGCAGGCTGGGCTGCAGCGGAGAATGCCAGGTCCTTCTGCCCTGTCCTCAGAACATCGTTGCCCTCTTGTCGAAGGTCCCAGTGCTGCCGGCCCGTCTCCTGTGCACCGCCCCATGCACCTCTGCCTCAGCCACAGCCCGTCCCCGCAGCAGCTCCTGCGGGCTGGCGGAGCCCAGCTGCGGCCCCTGCGGTCCTTAAGCTCCTGTCTGGCACGACCTCCTAAACCCCAGGGCCCCAAGAAGCAGGTGGTGTTTGCAGACACGAAGGGGCTCTCGTTGACAACTGTGCACCTGTTCGAGGATGCTGTGGGCGGAGACTCGGAGGAGGGCTCGTGTCACCTGTCCAGCTTCCCGCGCCCCGCACCCCCCCCAACCCTCTGCGCCCCGGGCCTCTCGGCCCCTGGGCCGGACTCGGGGTTTCCGGAGGCGCCAGCAGAGCCGGAGCGTGTGCCCCGAGCAGAGCGCGGGGCGGGGGCGCTGCCTGCGAGGCCCCGTGCGGGCGCGCACTCTGGCCTTCCAGAAGGCAGTGCAGACGCGCACGACCTTTGATGCCAGCGACTCGTTCCAAGAAGCGCCCCAGCGTTGGTGGTATAGTGGTGAGCGTAGCTGCCTTCCAGAAGCGCCCTGTGTTCACACGGCCGGTCCTTGCAGAAGCGAGACTGACAGCTTCGGCTTCCAGGTGGCGAGGTCACTAGAGTCCCCGGGCCCTGAGGACGCCATCCGGTTCTGCATCTCTTTAGGGTGTGCTCAGCAGCTTTTGGGGAACAACAATCAAGGACAGAACTGTTGCGTGGTGCCCAGTTCACAGTCCTGCTCATCAGACTGAAATTGAACTCTCTCGAGGGCCCACAGGCTGAGCCCTCTGGGATTACTTTTCCTGCACAGGCAAAGCTTGATTTTCTTGCCCAGGTGGTCCGTGTTTCCTCTCTCTCCAGGAGCTTCCCCCAGACTGTTTTTGCTCCCGGATTCATAGTGGGAAAACCGGACTGGGGCAACTCCCAGCCACGCCCCCTCCTCGGGGGCGGGGGAGCCCAAGCCTTGAATGCCTTGCATTCTTCTTTCCGGGGGGCAGGCTCACTTCCTGACCGAAGGGATGAGATTTCCTTCCTGAAGATGCTCGGTATGGCACCTTTTTACCCTTCGCAGGGAAGGAAGCCTTTGGAATGTGGAACAGGAGAAACGTAAATAAAGCTTTTAAATGTAAATCTTTAAAAGGCCTGGCAGAAAGTGTCCCTTAGGGCTGGGTGGGTGGGTGGCAGAGGTCAGGAGGAGCTCTTTACATTGAAGATGGAGATGCAGCACAGAAATGTGCTTTTACTTTCCCCTCTATCCAGAAAGGGCTAGTTTTCTGGTAACTCAAAGTCGTCTTGCCTCTTCAACTTTTGCCAAAAAAAAAAAAAAAAGTTTGTTAGAGCATCCTCAGGAGTTCATCTTGTATTGTCCACCAACACCTGACCTTTCCCCCTCTTCCAGCAGATAAGAGTCTGGGAAAACTCTGTCTACCTCCAATAAATGTACTTAAAAAACAAATATTTTTAACTGTTTAGCACATTCTTTTAAGTGTAATTTACCTACACCCAGAAGCCAGACCTTTGTTCCTATTTGCCCCTGCCCCCCCCCCACACACTTTCCCTGTTGTATTTATCCCCCTGTACTGAAACTGCTAATTGAACTGTTTGCTCCCCTCAGAGCCTGGGAAAGGCTGGGGCAGGCCCAACCATGTACTGTACTTTGCTGGCCCATAGGCTGGCCACCCCTGAGACACTCAAGACATATGGTTTGAAATAATGCATGAGTATTCATGCCAGGTATGCCCCCAGCTTCAATTTATAATGTTCTGAGATCCTTAGCCTTTGGAAGATCTTAACCTCTTTTCAGAGACTGTTCATTCTCTCAGATTATCCTTCATAGATGACAAATTTTTAACAAAAGTGTTGTTTTTGTTTTTGTTTTTTAATCTTTATCTCCTCTCATCCTTGACTTCTTGGGCTACGTTTGTTTGTGCCTGTGGTAGGCTAATACACGCAATCATAATGGTTGAGCAAGCAACATTCGCTTTATTTATTTTTGTCCCTTAGAGGGCCTGCCCCCGGCTAACTCCCTCTGGGTGTAAAACGGCCAGGTGGTTAACAGGGTAATGATAGAAGGAGCCGAACAAGCAAGCTTCCAGGACAGGGAGAACACAGCTGCGGCTTCCTCGTCTGATAAGGGGTGCTAGGTACTGCCACTGTTTCCTCCCCGCCCCCCACTCCAGGCTTCTAGTCTTGACTCATGAAGAGATGATCGGGGAATAGGGTGGGTGGTCCCCACTGGGTAAGCTGTCCGGATTGGGAGTCGGTCTCTGAAACTAAAGCTGGTAAGAACAGAAAAAATGAGCAGTCAGCTGTAAAGGTGACTTACTCCCAGAATGTGTTGAAATATAGTTCTCATGAAACTAGGGTTTTCTGAAATCTCATTGATGAGCTTCTAAGAAAATACAGTTGAGGTCAGGGCCCGCCACTGGAGAAGGGAAGTCTTGGAAGACCACATAGGTCAGGTCTAACAGTTTGGGGGTGCTAAGGAATCTAGACTTAGGATAGTTATACTCCTGCAACCACAGAGACAACCAGCAGGATTGAAAAGAGATGCAGCTTGTTAGTCATCTTTGAATTTCACATGTTTCAATGCCAGATCACAAAGTATACTATGGTATTAATATTTGATATTTTTATAAAGCCTTATCTTATAAACAGCATAACAGTGTTTAATTGTGACTTTTGGAAATACACACATGTACTATATGCCACAGTTATGTAATCCTGTAATTCGTTTTTTTCTTTTTTATAGTGATAATCTCAGAAAAACAAAAGTGGCCCAGGACTCTTGACCTTTCAAACGTCCAGACTAAGATAAACTGGTTTAATTTATGACAACCTTTCCTATGCAGGTAATTTTTCCATTCAGTGACCCCTTTCTCTGTCTTTCCCCCACACACCCTGTATTGTCTACCAAATTTCATGCATTAAGTACTAGTTCATTCATGATTTTATTAAATACATGCATACTTTGTCAGTTTTCTGGTAGTCATCATGTAATTTTGAGTCATTCAACAAACATTTACTGAGCAACCATACTGTGCCAGACATCATGTTAAGTATTGGGGCTAGAAAGATGAATAAAACAAAATTCACAGTCCAGTGAAGGGAGCCATACATACAGATGATTGATAAAAGTAATTCTAGACACACCAGGCAGTGTGAGAAACACATGGAGGAAAAAAAAAAGGAAAAAAAGAAGAAAACACACACACACACACACACACACACACAGAATGAGCACCTAGGAAGAAATCAGAGAAAATGTCTTATAGGAGTTGACCCCCAAAGTGAGTGCCTAAAAGATGCGTAGATGTTTGCCAGAAATTACATTTCAGTTAGCTTAAGTGGCCTTATTTATATATGTGATTTCCACAAGACTTTTGAATTATTGTTCCACTTATTGGAAACTTCCCTTTTGTTCCCCTGAGGATCCCAGGAAGTCAGCCCTTGTTTTAATGGAGGTGATAATGGCCAGCAGGAGTGAATTTTGGAAAATGGAGAGCTGGGCAAAGAGGAAAGTATGGCCATATTCATCCAAGAGGACATTCTGCTCAGCCAAGTGTTTTTGGCTGTTTGGCAGGTAGAGCTCTGTATAAGACAAGGTATATCAAATTGCCAGAGCCTTTAGAGTCATACATTTCCTTTTCTCTTTTTTTTTTAAACTTTATCATCAACCTATTGATGCTGATTTGGTTTCCCAAGTAGACATTGCTGTAAGGGTTATGAACTGACCTATGGATTCTATTATTCCAGTTAATTTTGCATTTTCAATTATCCACCTAATTTAATAAATAAGTCCCCTTTATCAGTGTCTCCTGCAGATTTGATTACTATAAATCAGTCCCCAGAAACAGATCATCTTGCTGTGAACTGACAAAGTTGGGTCTGTGAATTTTCAAGTTGAGGACCACAGTGTGGCTGCAGACTGAAAAACTTGTCTTCTTCATTTTGTTCTTAACTACAAAGTCTCTACTTCTTAAGTCAGAGTGTTCTTGCATTGATCTGATCCAACATGCATATTAGCCATATTCTGATGACTCTCAGATTTAAATCACTGGATCTCTCCTCCCAACTTTAGACTCCTATATCAAAGAAGAGCATCACAAATGGTGGTTCCTCCCAAAATTAAAAACAGAATTACAACATGATCTGGCAATCCCACTTTGGGGAATAGATCCAAACGTACTGACGGCAGCATCTCAGATATTTGTACATTCATTTTCACAGCAGCATTTTTCATAACAGCCAAAAGAGGGAAGCAACTCAAATGCCCATCAGTGGATGAGTGGGTAAAGTAAATGTGGCATATACCTACAACACAACGTTATTCAGCCTTCAAAAGGAAGGAAATTCTGACACCTTGCAACATGGATGAACCTGGAAGGCATTAGGCTAAGTGAAATATGCCAGTCCCGAAAAGACAAATATTATAGGATTTCACTTAGATATGAGTATGAGGTATGAGTAATTAAACTCAGAAACAGAAGTAGAATGGTGGTTGCCTAGGGCTGGGGGGAGAGGGAATAGGGAGTTTTTGTTTAACGGGTATACGTTTTGGTTTTTCGAGATGAAAAATTTGTAAAGACTGATTGCACAATAATGTGAATATACTTAACACCACTGAACTGTACAGTTAGAAATGGTTAAGATGGTAAATTTTATGTGTATTTTGCCACAATTAAAATTTTTTTTTATAAAGAACACACCTCGGGGCGCCTGGGTGGCTGTCAGTTGAGCATCTGCCTTCAGCTTGGGTCATGATCCCAGGGTCCTGGGATTGAGCCCCGGTCTAGGACTCCCTGCTCAGTGGGGAGCCTGCTTCTCCCTCTCCCTCTGCCCCTCACCCTGCTTGTGCTCCCTCTTTCTCAAATAAATAAATAAAATCTTTAAAAAATAAAATTAAATAAATAAAAAGAATACACCTTTTCTTAATTTGTCTTTTTCTCTTGGTGCTTGGAAATGAGCATTGGTATTGCTAGTTGTTTAGTAAATAGTTGTGGTTCACCTCTTAATGTCAAAGGCTTTATACATGAAAAGGTATCTGTGGAAGGAAGCTGCAGCACACTTATGGGAATATTCTACTGGGGGAAAGAGCATCTTTTAAAAGGAATATCTTCCCATTTGCCATACACACAGCAAACACAATGATTCTAAAGGCACATTTTGGGAAATTAGCTCAAAGTCAGAATGACATGGGGGTTGTTAACACTCTGATCCTCCTTTAAAATTTTTTTATTTATATATTTTTAAAGATTTATTTATTCATTTGAGAGAGACAGAATGTGTGCGCCCAGATTGGGGGAGGGAAGAGGCTGAGGGAGAGAGAGAATCTCAAGCAGACTCCTGCTGAGTGCAGAACCCAAACAGGGCTCCATCTCATGACCTGAGATCATGACCTGAGCCCAAATCAATAGTCAGACACTTAACCGACTAAGCCACCCAGGTGCCCCAAGATCCCCCCTTCTTTTTTTTTTTAAGATTTTATTTATTTGACAGAGAGAGAGAGAGAGACAGCAAGAGAGGGAACACAAGCAGGGGGAGTGGGAGAGGGAGAAGCAGGCTCCCTGTTGAGCAGGGAGCCCAATGTGGGACTCGACCCCAGGACCCCGAGATCATGACCTGAGCTGAAGGCAGACACTTAAAGACTGAGCCACCCAGGCACCCCCCCCCTTTCTTAATGGACTATCAGGTTTTTAAGATTACTCACATAGCTTTTGTATTAAAAGAGTATTTTCATTTTAAAATGGGGAAATACCTCAACAAAAATCTAAAGACAGTCCAAATTCAGAGTGACAAGGAATTTAGTGTTGGATGTAAGCCTAGTCATGCTATAGGCAGTGGGCCTTCTCTATAGTTAAACCTACTTTGTGTCTAACTTTTCAAGAATTATTTGCTCATCTTCTCTCTCCCATTTGTATTCCTCTGCCTAGAAATGGGTATGACAGAGATTTGCCCATAACATTAACCTTTGAAAACAAAGTTCTGGAACCTGAGGGAACCATATTAACCCAGTTCTTTTTGGCTCCCTCTTCAAAAGGAAGTTTGATTGCCTTCCTGCACTAAAGAAGTTTAGAGAATGTGTCAAGGAGTGTGTGTGTGTGTGTGTGTGTGTGTGTGTGTGTGTGTTGATACCCAACAACTGAGTCTACTATTTGGCTGGGCAAAGAATCAATCAATGTCATTTATGTTGAGTCTCTAAAATGTGTGAAACATTTTTTAATTTCAAAATTATCATATAGAAAGAACAGTAATATATGGTGGGAATTGTAAGAAAACATAAACACAAATACACAAAAGCAGAGAACAGACTACTTCTAAGTTTTGACTGGTTCTGGAGGCAGGAAAGGAGACCAGATATCAGAATCCAAAAAGCATTTAAGATGGTAGTGACCACTTTAAAACTCTAGCCCTAGCACTGAGGAGAACACAAAAATGTATGATGTCCAGTTTCCTTTATGGAATTTAATCTAGTTGAAGATTTTCCATGGCCATGAATTATTCAACTTTGTATTGCCATTGGGACAATGGCAAAAACTGGCCACATGGGAAGGACTCGGTGAAGATTTGTTAAATGAATAGATAAATGATTGAGTTTAAAATATGTGATAAGTCCCAAACAGGTGTGGTGATGAGTGGAAATGAGTGGTCCGGTGTTTTGGAGTAGAGCCGTCATTCTTAAAGTCAGATTTTGAGGCTTAAGAATGTGGACTTTACCCTGAAGATTTATTATCAAGTTATTTAGCAAGGAATGGCAATCCGACACTAGTACACAGAATAAACTGGGGGGGGGGGCGGGCTTGGTATTGGAGGTAAAAATGTCTTTTAAGAACAAGGAGAAGGGCTAATTTTTTTTCCTAAGGAGAATCCATTTGAGGGAAGATGATAAACTTGAGTCCTTGGGTTAGGCATTTGAAGTCTGAAGTGCTGGTGAGAAATACACAGGCAAACTCCTGCAGGCACCAGCTAGAGTGATCCCTTCCGAGTTGAGGTGGACGTTGGAAAGTTCCAGCTGCAAAGGAACAGGGAGATTGTCCACACAAACCCCTTGCACTCCGTGGCTTCATTAGTAAGGCAAATGACACCCAGGGATGATGACGATGGTTTCGGTGACGGTGATGGTGGTGGCAGTGATGGTGATGTAATGGCAGCTAATGTTTCTTGAGCGTGCCAGGCCTTGAGCTAGGTTCTTTATGTACAGAACCGTATCTCACCGCATTACTCACAACAGCCCCAAGACGACAAGATAATTTTGTGACTCAAGCCTTTCTCGCTGATCAGGACAGATTTCACCCTCTCTAGAACCTACACGAGTGCACCTTGGGGGAAGTAGCCGGTATTCGGGCCCGGGCACAGCTCAGAAACGTGGAGACCCCTCTTTCGGAAGCGCTCCCCTTATTGGAGCAGGAATCCCGAGGGACGCGCGCCGCGGTGAGGGGCAGGCGACCAGTGCCCTCGAAGCACAGCATCAGCCTCCACAGCGCTCCGCCAGCCCGAGGTAACGGCTCCTCGCCCGCCAGGGGGCGCCTCGGTCCGTCCCAGGCGCCCCCGACCCCGGGCAGGTGACGCGGCTGCCCGCCCCTCGTGGTCCCCGCCCGGCGCGCGCCCGACGCGCGGGTGCCAGGCGAGCGATTAAACGGCGGGAGGGGTGGGGATGGGACGCGAGGGGTCACGTCAAAACGGCGTAGACAAAGGGCGGGCGCGCGCACGTCTTTACGCACGCCTCGGCCGGCGGCGGCAGCGGCCAAGGGCGGGAGGGATCGGCCACGGAGGGATTGGGAACCCCGGAGCCTCGCGGTCGGTGAGTATGACCGCGTTCCCGCCGGTCCTGAAGGTCACTGGCCCCAGGGGAGCCGACAGCGGGCCCCGGGGTTCGGGGCCGGCACCCCGCGAGCGGCCTGCGGTCTGGGAACCCCGTCCCTACGCCGCTCCGGCGTCAGGAGACACCATTGCCGCTTCCTGGGGTTTCCCGGCCCGTCGGAACGTTCCGCCCCCTCGGCCGCAGTGGAACAGTCCGCGCCCCTCCCCGGGCGAGCTCGCCGCGCCACCCTCCGGTCCCGCCGCAGCGCCCCGGAGGCCGGTGTCGGGTGGCTCCCGCCACTCCCCTGCTCGGTCCGGTCCCCCTCCGGCTGGGCTCTCCGGGCTTCTCCCCGCATCCCAGGTGCTCCGCAGCCTGCCCTCCCGGAGCGTGGAGGAGTGGAGCTTGGGAGGGCTGAGGGGGTATTAGAGATCACGAGGAGGCGCCTTCTCCTGTAATTTCTTTTCTTATGTCCTTTGGCTTCGCTGGGATGTAGATTTTCCTCGCTTGTTCTCCAGAGGGACCCATTTTTCTTTCTTTAGAATTTCTTAACCCCCGAGATCCCTTATCTTTCCGTTTTGATTTCACGCCCTGCATGGCATCCTCCTACCAGAGGGTCTTGTTTATTTACTCACTTCGTTTCACGTAGGATTTTAACTTTTGCAGTTTCAAAGTTAGAGAAAACGTACTGTAGGAAACATACGGTATTATTCTGTGGAAATAAGTTCCATACTGTACTAGATATAAGTGCCTCTCACTGCTCATGCCCTCAGTGCCATGGATCTTCTCAGTGATAACCTTCTTGACAGCATTTCCTTTCTGGTTCATTTTCCTTAATTTTGACTGAACTTTGAGTGCCTCTGCTTAGTTTCATCTCCTGTAGATTCTATCTCAACCCAAAGGAAATGGTGTGAAAGCAGTTATCCGTATGCCAGAGACTGTAGAAATGAGTCCTGTAATAATGCCAGTCTGGTATTCTCTTCTCACTTTGATAGGGTTTTTTGTTTGTTTGTTTTTTTACAACTTTGTATTATGGAGATTTTCAGACATAGACAAATAAATAAAATAGTGAGCCAGCATGTATCCATCATCCAGCCTCAACAATTGATCTTCAGGTTAAGCCTGTCCCATCCATGTCCCCCTTCCCTAAGCTCTGGGATAAATCCTTGATGTCAAAAGGAGCTTGAGATTCAAAATAAAAATCGTACTGTTGTATAAAATCATAATGTACTTTTTTGGGACATACCTACTCTTGGAAGTTCTTCAACTAAGAAATACGTAATAGCATTGGAGAAGGGCCAGAAAAGGACACCTAAAATGATCAAAGTGCCGGAGGACAGGTTGAAACAAAAAAGTCTTCAGATGTAGATGAGAACTTCCAGGTTATCTTTCTAACTTTTTCTTTTCTTTTAATTTTTTTTATTTATTTGACAGCAAGAGAGACAGCGAGAGAGGGAACACAAGCAGGAGTGGGAGAGGGAGAAGCAGGCTTCCTGCAGAGCAGGGAGCAGGACCCTGGGATCATGACCTGAGCCGAAAGCAGACACTTAACGGCTGAGCCACCCAGGCGCCCCTTTTTCATTTTTAATGCACCCTCAGGGTCCATAGATGTTCAGAGACTTGTCCACATCAACCGGGAGTAAGAGTCCAAAGAGGCTGGAAACCTCTCCCAACTCCACATTCAGTCTTTTTTCTCCTTTACCATAGTACTGCCTTTAAGTTGTTTCTTTCAGGAAAGGGAAGTGTGTGGGAGGGCTATAATGAAGACTTTTACAGTGAAAGGTTTGGATGGGTTCATAGGAACTTTCCCATCAAATTCTGGAATAATAAAACTAGGGGTTATGTCTTAAAATATTTCTTAAGCCAGATAGGGGACAAATGAGAAATTCTAATCACAGCTTTTAGTAAATGGGAAAATTGTGACCTTAGAAGGGGAATACCAGACTGAGAAGAATTATAAACTTTAACAGATGTAGATAACATTCACAGCTATTTAAGAAAGAGTAACTAAAGATTTGGCATGCACTTCTGAAGTTTTGCTCTTGATAGCAGAGAGAATAGTAGCCTTCCATAGAACATCCTTTCTTGCCATTAAACGGATAAAAATCCTAGGCTGGATGTAACATGGATTAGGTGTTTGCTTTCTTTTTTGTTGTTGTTGTTTTTGTTTTTTTTACAAAACATAGTATGTATTTCTTAGCACATTTTGTGCTTGTTAGGTTTCCTTATCTCAGGAAAGACAGGTAAATTCAGTACTTGTACCTCAGTCTTCGCCCTTAAAATTGGAGGGGATATTGTACCTCCAAGGAGTGCTGTGAGCAAAGGAATCTTTGTATATAGAGTTCATCGAGTTTGCTTTTAAGTTTGGTTTATGTGATGTAACATAGTTGTTCATAAATTATTTTCAGGATGGGCTTTTGTTAACTTATGACTTAAATACAGTGGTCGTCACATGCATCCAGCTTATGGAAATAACTGCTGAGATAACAGCGTCGGCGTGTCTTGGTAAATCATTACCCTACAGACATGGGTGCAGGGAGAACTTTTATATTTTGTGTGGGTTTTGTGGTTTTTTTGTTTTTGTTTTGTTTTTTTAGAGAGAGAGGGAGAAGGGGGGGAGAGAATCTTAAGCAAGCTCCGCACCAAGTGCAGAGCCTTACACTCAGGACCCTGAGAGCATGACCTGAGCCAAAATCAAGAGTCAGCACTTAACCGACTGAGTCACCCACCCCTTGTGTGGTTTTTTCTTTTGTGTGTTTGTGGTATCAGAAATTTCTGAGTACAGTGGTTAGCTAGGATTCTAGCCTGGTAACTGGTTTCTGCTGAAGAATAAACCACTTATCTGTAATGCACATCACAAAATGTTACCTTTTTAAAAAATCTCTTGCTTTCTGGAGGTAGAAGCTGAGATTATTTGATCCTGGTTGAACTGTACTACAAAAGTGTTTTTTCAAGTAAAGTAGAACCTCATTATGGAGTGGCATTTACGTCTTTCTGTATAATTATGCTCAGGGGAGGACTTGACCAAATATCATCAATTCCATGTATCACTAAACTGCAAAATACTTATGATAGCATGATGAATGCTTTTTAAAAGCACCGAGTTTTAGAGTTAGTAGGAATGTTATAAAGCTTGCAGTTTTCCCTCCTTTAAAGGTACTCTCTGTCCTGTAAAACATGCATACTTTTGCACCTGCCATCCAGTCACAGGGCATTGTCTCCTTTCTTTGGGCACTCTTTTAGTTTGCCTTGTGTTTGCTTTGCACCTCCTTTTAAACTATAACCCCAAGATCTGCAATATTAGAATAATGCTTTGTAAAAAGTAGGAGCATAATAAATTTTTGTTGACCTTTTGAATTAAAATACCAAAAAACTGATGAGGAAATTGAAATCCAGGGAAGCTGAATGACTTAACAGACCAGATAGTAACAAAGCTATGCCTGAATTCTTACCTAAGGAGACTCCTGAGTTCCAATTCTAAGCTCCTTTATGGTATCATTTTCTTCACACAGCAGAGGAATGGGGAGGGAAAAAATATTTATGTATGTTTTTTTCTTTACCAGTTACACATATTTTATTTTCAGGGTCTGCTTTAAAAGTTTTTGATCAGGGGCGCCTGGGTGGCTCAGTCAGTTAAGCTTCCGGCTCTTGATCTCAGCACAGGTCTTGATCTCAGAATTGTGAATTTGAGCCCTGTGTTGGGCTCGATGCTGGGTGTGGAGCCTACTTAAATAAAATAAATAAAAAATAAACGTTTTTGATCAGTGCTGTCCAATAGAAATACAATACATACCATATATATGATTTACATTTTGTAACTAGCCACTTTTATTTTTATTTTTTTTTTCACCAAGTATTTATTTGTCAGAGAGAGCACAAGCAGGGGGAGCAGCAGGCAGAGAAAGAAGCAGGCTTCCCACTGAGCAAGGAGCCTGATGCGAAACTTGATCCTGGGACTCTGGGATCGTGACCTGAGCCGAAGGCAGATGCTTAACCAGCTGAGCCACCCAGGCATCCCGTGTAAGAGCCACTTTTTAAAAAGTACAAAGAAACACACGAAAACAATTTTAATCGTGTTTTTAATCCAAATTGTCCAGAATATCACTTCAACATGTAATCAATATACAGATTATTAATGAGGTCTTTTACATTCAGTTTTTCAGAGAACATTTAAATCCAGTGTGTATCTTATTTACATTTACAGCATATTTCAATTTGGACTTCCCACATTTCAAGTGCTCAAGAGTTATATGTGGTTAGTGGCTGCTGTGTTGGACAACAGAATCACTGTCAGCTGAGCATAAAGATAAAGGAGCATTTTAGGCTCTTAGTAATAAATTCTGAGATTAAAATAGTTTGTGGTTGTATTCATTTTTTTTTTTGTTTCTTAGTGATTTTTCTTTGCATAGTTAGGATTGTTTCAAGTTTGTAGAAAGTTGAACAAAGAAGTCTGATGGTCCACAAATTTTGTAATTTGTGATTAAATGCTCTCTCTCTCTCTCGGTCTGTGGGATCAATCTTCTCTCTCTCTCTTTTTAACCATCTTGACCATTTTTAAGTGTGTAGTCCAGTAATAATGCTTTCTCATTTTAACACTATTTAGTCACTGGGGGGAAAAAGCTTGATTTAAAAAAAAAAATAGCCAGTAACAAAACTAAGTAATAAAATAACCTAATAAAAAATAGGTAAAGATTTGAACACTTCACGAAAGAAGATAGATGCATGGTGAATAAGCAAACAAGATGCTCAATATCATTGGTCATTGGGGAAATGCAAACTAAAACTATGAGATACCACTTCACATCGATTAGTGTGTCTAAAATTAAAAAGACTGATCCTATCAAGTGGCAGTAAGGTTGTAGAGCAAATGGAACTTTTATACGCTGCTGGTGAGGATGCAAAATGATGGTACAACCAGCTTAGAAAGCAGTTTGGTAGGGCGCCTGGGGGGCTCAGTCGGTTAAGCGTCTGCCTTCGGCTCAGGTCATGATCCCAGGATCCAGGGATTGAGTCCCACATCGAGCTCCTTGCTTAGTGGGCAGCCTGCTTCTCCCTCTGCCTGCCATTCCTCTGCATATGCTCTCTCTCTCTCAGATAAATAAAATCTTAAAAAAAAAAGAGAGCAGTTTGGCAGGTAAACATAGACCTGCTTTAGACTCCGTCATTCCACTCCAAGGTATTTACCCAAGAGAAATTAAAATGTACGTCCATGTCAAGACTTGTAGATAGCAGCTTTATTTGTAACAGTCCCAAACTAGAACAATCCAGTTGTTCATCAGTAGGTGAATGCATAAGCGAATGTGGTATATCCATACCTTGGGCTACAGCTCAGCAGTAAAAAGGAATGAACTCGTGACAGGTGCAGCAATATGAATGACTCTCAGAATAATGGTGCTGAGTGAAATAAGCCAGACAAAAAAAGATTAAAAAAAAAAAAAAAGGCCAGAAAGTTGCTTCTAATTACATATACAGTACTTAAATGTAAAAACACTATCTCTGAGATGGAGCTCGCAGAGCAGCATTCAGGTTGGGTAATGAAATGTCTTGGGTCTTAAAAACCCCAGAAAGTTAAATTGTCCTTTCTTAGGCTGATTGCCCCTGAATATCAAAATATCCTGTGTCCTTTGTCCTTTTTTTCTTTTCCAGCTTCGAAGACTTCATGTTGCTGTGGGGGAACTTGGTACCAGGTTTCTTACTACCCAGTTCCAACTCAAGTTAGTCCTTTGTAGGCAAGGAGAAAGGTACGTAAGGTCAGAGTGACCTTAGCTAAGATCAAGACCCCCAAACTGACCCTGTTACTGTCATCTTTCTGGTGAGTTGAGTTACCCTTTAGCTTACTGTATCTTGACTTTGTCTTGAACCATTTATTTTATCTAGCATTGATGTCAGCTCAATGTATAGTCTTGATTTTTTAGCACTTCAGGTTCACTTCAACCTCTTAGCTCTGAGTGCTGCCCTGTTTCTTTGGAAACACTGTGTACTTCCTCCTAAGTACCAGCATTCCATTGAAGCAAATTTCTTATACTCCACTACTCTGATACACTTGACATTCAGTTCACCCAGCACTATTACCTATTCAAAATGGTAAATAAAATTTTAAAGGTAGCAAAAAAGATAAAGTGACCTCACCCTCACACTCCTAGAGGCAGCAGCTGTAGCCATTCTTGTATCTTTCCAGAGATCTGTATCTTTGCAAATACATATAAACTGTATATATTTTTCCTTTTTCTCCCTCTCAATTGGTATTTACTGTGGACATTGTTCTGCATCTAACTGGTAGATTGTTTCTTTATCAGTGCACAAGTAAATGTCTTTTTTCATTTAACAGATGAATAGCATTCCATTGTGTGTTCTGTTAATTGTGGACATTGATGTTTCTTTGGATATTACAAAACAGTGCCGCAGTCAGTAACCGTGCACGTACATCGTCTTGTATGTGCATCAGTACAGGGTTCTCAGCCTCAGCACCATCGTCATTTGGGGCTGGATAATTCTTTGCCATCAGAGGTGACCTACGTATTACAGGATGTTTAGCAGTACCCCTGTCGTCTTTGTACTCGTTGCCAGTAGCTCCCCATCCCAAGTCCTGACAGCTAACAAGGTCTACAAACATTACCAAACGGTAGGGGGAGTGTTGGGGGAAAGGGGAGAGGTTGGGGGGCAAATGGCCCCTGGTTGAAAACTACTGTTCTAATTTACCTGTTTTTTGTTCGTTTGTTTTTTCTTTTTTTAGAGAGAGTGTGTGCAAGCAGGGAGGGGCAGAGAGAGAAGGAGAGAGAGAATCTTAAGCAGGCTACATGCCCATCGTGGAGCCTGACGGCGGGGGGCGGCTCAATCTCAGGACTCTGAGATCATGACCTGAGCCGAAATCAAGAGTCGGATGGTCAACTGACTGGGCCACTCAAGCACCCCTCTAGTTTATCTTTAGGATACCTTTTTAGAGGTAGGATTGCTGGAGCTAAGGTTACGTGCATTTAAAATTCTGATGGCCGGGGCGCCTGGGTGGCTCGGTCAGTTAAGCGTCTGCCTTCGGCTCAGGGCATGATCCCAGGGTCCTGGGATCGAGCACCTGCATCCGGCTCCCTGCTCAGCAGGAAGCCTGCTTCTCCCTCTCCCACTCCCCCTGCTTGTGTTCCCTCTCTCACTGTCAAATAAATAAAATCTTTAAAAAGTAAAATAAAATTCTGATGGCCTTTACTGAGTTCTCTAAAGAGGTTGTACCATTTTTATACTCTAGCCAGCAGTATTTGAGACTATTTTCTCATTGTCACCAGTATGGTGGTTTATAAAATAATTTTTTTTGCCATCTCACTAGTTTTAATTAACATTTATGTGCTTTACAACTAACCTTTTTATTGAGCACCTAGTGCTTGTTAGGCATGTAGTATTTTTTGGCCTGTGGGTTTTGTGACATACTCTGAAATGCTTTCCTCTCTATCTAGCTCTCTTAAAGTTTGGTATTTAGAACTGAAGACAGGGGGCCCTGGATGGCTCAGTCAGTTGAGCGGCCGACTCTTGATTTTGGCTCAGGTCATGATCTCAGGGTCCTGGGATTGAGCCCCGTGTTAGACTCTGGGCTCAGCAGGGAGTCTGAGGTTCTCTCTCTCTCCCTCTGCCCCGCCTCCCACTCACAGATGTGCTCTCGCTCTCTTTTGTGCATGCGCATGCTCTCTCTAAAATCGATAAATCTTTAAAGAAAAAAACTGAAGACAATACCCTGGGTTTCTTCTGATCCCAATGGAATCATGGTACATACCATTTATTGAAATCTAATATGTGACAGACATTGTGCTTGGTGTGCTTAAAAAATGCATTATTCCTCTGTTGCCTAAGCATTTATGTTTAATGAAATGTTTTATTTTCTTTCTTTGAGTTGGTATGTGACATCTCTCTAGACATATTATGGTAGTCATGGTCTCCTGAAGTAGGATGTGTCACAGAGAGCTAGCTGAAAAGAAATGCAATTGGCCCTTGAACAACATGGGCTTTAAAGACTCCGATTCCCTGTACAGTCTAAAATCTGCGTGTAACTTTTTTTTTTAATTTTTTTATTCTGTTAATCACCATACATTACATCATTAGTTCTTGATGTAGTGTTCCATGATCCATTGTGCGTAACACCCAGTGCTCCATGCAGAATGTGCCCTCTTTAATACCCATCACCAGACTAACCCATCCCCCCACCCTCCTCCCCTCTAGAACCCTCAGTTTGTTTTTCAGAGTCCATCATCTCTCATGGTTTGTCTTCCCCTCCGACTTACTCCCCTTCATTCTTCCCCTCCGACTTACTCCCCTTCATTCTTCCCCTCCTGCTATCTTCTTCTTTTTCTTTTTTCTTAACATATGTTGCATTATTTGTTTCAGAAGTACAGATCTATGATTCAACAGTCTTGCACAATTCACAGTGCTCACCATAACACATACCCTCCCCAATGTCTATCACCCAGCCACCCCATCCCTCCCACCCCCCACCATTCCAGCAACACTCAGTTTGTTTCCTGAGATTAAGAATTTCTCGTATCAGTGAGGTCATATGATACATGTCTTTCTCTGATTGACTCATTTCACTCAGCATTAACACCCTCCAGTTCCATCCACGTTGTTGCAAATGGCAAGATCTCATTCCTTTTGATGGCTGCATAATATTCCATTGTGTATATATACCACCTCTTCTTTTTCCATTCATCTGTCGATGGACATCTTGGCTCTTTCCACAGTTTGGCTATTGTGGACATTGCTGCTATAAACATTGGGGGGCACGTACCCCTTCGGATCCCTACATTTGTATCTTTGTGGTAAATACCCAGTAGTGCAATTGCTGGAAAATCTGCGGGTAACTTTTAACCTTCCTGAAACTTAACTAATTGCCTACTGTTGACCGGAAGCCTTACCGATACGGACGATTAGGTTAACACGTATTTTGTGTGTATGTATCATATGCTGTGTTCTTATAAAAAAGTAAGCTAGAAAAAGAAAATGTTACTAAGAAAATCATAACAAGGGATGCCTGGGTGGCTCATTTGGTTGGTTAAGTGTCTGACTCTTAGTTTCGGCTCAGGTCATGATCTCAGGGTTGTGAGATCGAGCCCTGCATTGGACTCTGCACTGAGCATGGAGTCTGTTTGAGATTCTCTCCCTTTCCCTCTCCTTCCCCCTCTGCCCCTCTGCTCCCTTGTTTGCACATGCGTGCGTGCACGAACTCTGCCTCAAAATAAATAAAATTTTTAAAAAATCATAAGGAAGAGAAAATACATTTATGGTACTGTGGTTATCAAAAAAATCCATATATAAGTGGACCTGCACAGTTAAACCTGTACTGCTGTTCAAGGGTCAACTATATTTGATTCTTCAGTTAGAATCATAATAGTCCCTGTCTTGTGATTGGGTCAGAATTGGTTTAGATGACCTGATTTAAATGGAGTTCCCTCTGTTATTTTTTCTTCCAGGATCCTCTTTTTCTTGCTAACAATCATCAGAGTGTAAAATTATGATTTTGTGTATGCTTATTTGCTTAATGCTTGTCTCTAGGCATATTTGTTCACCACTAAATACCGCCTAACATAATGTGTGGCACATAGTATGTGCCCAGTGAATATTTGTTGAATGAACGAACTCGTCACTCTGAGAACTGAGGAGCACTGGAAATTGGGTCATTTGGGGGCTTAAAGGCCCAGATGTGCCATTCAGTGGGTTGAAGAGTTTAGTTAGCTTAGTGATGGGCTCTGTCACATTCCCTTCTAAAAGGCTGAGAACTCCTTGGTTCTTAGGTTTTTCTCTGGACCCTTTGGGCTGTTAGGGGAACTTTGGTCCAAGTAACTCTCCATAAGTTTGGCTGAAAGCTGTGGAAATTAAGAGAACGAGCAAATACTACCTCATGCTTATGGAGTCATGGTTATATTCACTTGAAGCAAAGTGATATCCTCTCCTAAATGAGCAGTTATCTGGAAATTGTGGTGTGGTAGAGCTCTGCTGTGACTAATCTTCTGATAATATTTCCAGAGATCAAAGTTTGTGTTAAGGAGGCCTAAGACACCAGTCTTCTGGCTTTAATGGCCGCTCTGCTAATCCAGCAAGATGTTTGGAACTCTGTCTGATAACTGCAGTTGGCTTGCTTTTTCTCTTTACTTCTAAGAATTTATGTGAGGATTGTTTAGCATTGGCCAGATAACTTGTTTGGCTAGGTTACTGTTCTCTCTGTTCTGGAGTCTGGCACCCATGAACATGAACTCAAGGGGTGGGGCAGGACCGTAGGGGGTAGTTCAGTGCCTCTGAGGGGAGAAAGGAGTGGCTGGATCATGGGTTGGCAAACTGTAGGGTCAGATAGTAAGTATTTTAGGCTTTGCTGGCTGTGGTCTCTGTCACAAATTATTCTTTGTTTTTTACAATTCTTTAAAGATGTAAAAACCATTCCTAGCTAATGAGTCTTAGAAAAACAGGCCAAATCCAGATTTGGCCTATGGGCCATGGTTCGCCAACCCCTGAACTAAGTGAGGAAATTAGTTTATAGCAATAACATGTTTAATGTTTGGGGGACATGAACCCAGAATAACCTTGGGAATTCTCAGTTGATTGTGATTCGAAGAAAAGAGATCTAAACTCTGGCATGGGAAGTCACAGTGACCCCAGTGTCCGTCATCTTGAGAACATGGAAATCAGGGTAACCATAGCTAGTGGGATGGAGGGATTTTGCTGCTGCTTTTCCACGGGAATGCTGGACAAGGGGGATAGGAATGGAAGAGTGGGACAGAGATGTGGCCTGAGAATTAAGCTGGAATTAAACAGGTGTAAAGAATACAGTGACTCAGCAAATTAAGTCTCAGAAATATTTCTAATTTCCTCAACCTCTGCTGGGATGTTGTTAGAAATCTGGCATGTAGAGTCGGTTTGGCCAGTTTATAAAAATGAAAGGGCAGGTTTGTACCTTGGATTCTGAGAACACCAAATTCTGATACATGAATCCAGATTGGCCTTGTGGTTTTTCTCCGACCGCAAGAAGTTCTGTAGAGCAGGCCTGGCATGAAGGAAGTGTTAATTTATTTCAGGGTAGTTTGGAGTTAGGAGGGCATAGTGGTTAAAGAGCATGGGCTGTGAGACAGATCCCCTGCTCCAAATTCCTACTCTGCTACTTAGTAGCTGTGTCATTCTGGGTAATTTACTTAATCCTCTGAGCCTTGATTTCTTCATCCTGTATCAAATAGCAATGGTAGTAAGAACTCCACCATAGGCTTGTGAGACTAACGTGAGGGTCAGATATGTAAAATGTTATGGGAGCTCAGGGTCTTTCGTGTTGTTAGTATTCAATAAACGTTAGCAGTGATGATGATCATGTGAGATTGGAAGAACTGGAGGATCCAAAATAGGAACTAGTATTTGTGACTCAGTGCCACGGAATAGCATGTCATTTTGATTTAATCACTAAATGCATGGGAATGTAATGGGAGCAATACTGGGTTAGGAGTCCGAAGAACTGGATCTGTCTCTGTCTGCCTTTGTTTCCTAATTGGTAAAACGGAAATAATACTGTTGACAGGTTATGAAAGAACCTGTGAAAGAGGCTCTACAAGTTCTAAAAAGGCACTGGACAAAATTTAAGGTAAAGGTAGTAACCTGCTTATTTGTTCAATTTCTCAACTTTCTATAAATGTATAGGAGCGGAGCCAGAAGGTGATTGGTGTGAAGCCGCAGAGTTTGCCAGAGATTTGAAAGGACGTTCCCAAGTGCAGGACTTGCATTGGTAACTTGTGGTTAGGGATAAGTAATATAAAATTGAAATACTTTTGTAAGGTATTTAAAGTAGTGTAGTTTACGAGTGGCTATGTTAATTTGAAAAAGCCAATTTGAAAATACAATTCAGACTAAGCCACCCTGGCGCCCCTATGGTATAGTCTTAAAGTTGAAACTATGCACCTATAAAGAGAGGGAGCCCTGCATGTGCTGATGAAGTACTCTTCCAAGATATGGTAAGCTAGAGACACAAACCCAAAATGCAAGTTGAAGAACAGCGTGCAGAATATGGCATCATTATTGTTGCCAGGGTGAGGGGGTGAGTAGTAAAGATAAGTTAGGATTTCCTCATATAAGGACAGAACAGGTTGGGGAGAATATGAAGCTGGTAACATGGCTGCATGTGCAGGCTGCAGAACTCTGGGTAGCTGGGGACAAGTAGGGAAATCTACTTTTTGTATTATAGATGAAATGTGGCATATATCCGTATATGATGGGTCTTTTGTCCAAACTTCTAAAATGTGGCATATATCCATATATTTTCTCTTCAAAAACTTGGCCACAGATGATATCGTTGGAATCGAAAGCTATACGAAACATCTCCGTTTGCTTCCCGCCTCTGCGTCTGCCAGACACCTACCTGTTGCTGTGCCTGTTCCCTTTGACCTTGATGCCTCAAGAAGCTGGCACTGACTCTAGGCTTACTCTAAAACAGCCCCCCCCCAAAGCATATTGATGTTTCTCCTCTTGATTTGTGTGACTGATGGTGTTTCTGTTTCCACCCCCAGCTTTGGCAGCATGTGAGCAACTTCTTGCCAAGAACCCAGGTCACCGCTGAGAAGGGGGCCTTAGGGAGAAGACTGTCCAGAGGAAACCAATGCCAGACACATCTGGAGTTACGCTCAGCACAGGCAGCATGAGACATTCTGTGCCAGCCCCTGGGTCCTGCTGGCAAAGACTGTAGCTCTCCAGACTGGAGGGTCCTGGAAGCAGCGTGCACCAGGAACCTCTCTAGAGGAAGAATGGGGCCAGATGTGAACTCTCTACAATGATCACAGTTTTCAGCTTATGAAGGAGTTTTAAGTAAAACAATTATTTAACTTCCACATATTCAAGTTCAATAGCCTTCTGTGTGAAGGCCAGCAGTCACCCCCTCCACAGAAGTTATCAGGATTGTTCTGGCACCAAGTTGAACTCTTCTTGGTACTTCTGGCAATGACGGATGTTCAGGACAGATTTATTTGCTAAATGCTCTTGACCAGGAAAGAAAAAGTAAAACTTCTGGAAGGAGCAGAAGGGTAGCAGAGCAGAGATCCCTCCCTCACTACTCACTTTCACAGAAACTCTGCCTGGATTCAGATGCTTGTACTGAAGATTGGTCCCGCCTCACTGACCTCCAAAGTCCATCGGTTCTGGGGAGAGCTGGTGTTTTTGGGCTGCCCCCTGTGGCCCTTTTTACTGTCCTTCTGCCCCCAGGCAGTCGAATGATGTGAACGTGGAACGGGGTTTGCTATCCTATGGGGACTCGCTGTCTTTCCCAGGCCGGTGCTAACTGACAGGACCATCTGAAGACGGTGGTTTGTTCTTGGGGTGGAAAGCGCTGGCCTTGCCTGGATCTTCCACCATGTTCCTGTTGCTGCCTTTTGATAGCCTGATTGTCAACCTTCTGGGCATCTCCCTGACTGTCCTCTTCACCCTCCTCCTTGTTTTCATCATAGTCCCTGCCATTTTTGGAGTCTCCTTTGGCATACGAAAGCTCTACATGAAAACTTTGTTAAAAATCTTTGCGGTAAGTTGTGCTGTTTACAAATGGTTGCTGCACAGAGGATGGAAGAAATGCTGTTATTAGTAAAGAGTTTTTCTTACCTGGCAGATGATTCTCTCTTTATTGCATACAGAGAAAATTGGGAGAATGGGAAGTAGCATTTTTCGTAAAAAAAAAAAAAAAACAAAACTTCCCTAAATGTGTACTTGTGAAAGCCTTTAGCAGACTTTCTTTTCGAGCTAAGGTCCTTGTATGCTTGATTCTTCTGAGCAAGGGAACCTATTCCATAACTCCACACCTTGCCTATTTATAATTTCAAAGAGAGGGGCTTAGAATTTAAGAAAAAAATCACTGCCAGACTCTGCCTCTGCTTATGTAACAGATAATGAAACATGGAGCTGCTGCTCACATACTCCCTCACTAATAAGTTTGAGAGAGACTTTTCTCTTGTTTAGACTTAAATATCTTAAATAGATTCTTGCATTTCAGACAGAAGAAATTAACAGGGCAGGGCATTTGGTGAATTGTTTTATCTTCTTAAAGACAGAGGAGAAGGACAATCAATTTCTTAACATGTGTCAGAACTTAGCTAATTATACCGATGAACAAAACTGGCCACAGTGTAAAGGAACTGTTCCTGGAAGTTGATTCTTGCCACAGGACTTTTAATATCTATCCAAAGACTTGGTACTTTATTAGCAATATCTGTGTTCAGTAGTCAGCAAATCTTCAGTCATTCTTGTTCATAGCTGAGACCATTTGAGAAGTCAAAAATTTGAGAAGTTACTTATTCATATACTATCTTATGGTTCAGAATAGATTCATTCATTTTTCTTTAGTTCCTTGTAATTCTTCAGTGGACGGGGTATCTACATTTTGTCAGTGAAAAAATAGAGACTCTGAAAAATTAAGTGAGCTGTATGAAATGTTACTTTATGGTGGGAAATATTTTTTATGTGTTTTATTGAATATTGGGTTTGGGTATTTAATATTCTGTAAGAATGTGATTTTTGTCACATTTAAGAGTGGCATTTCTTATATTCACAGTGTTGTACAGCCATCACCTCTGCCTAGTTCCCTAACGCTTTCATCACTGCAGAGGGAAACCCCACACTCATGAAGCAATTGCCCTCCATTCCCCCCCGCCCCCACCACCATGAGTTTATTATGTTCCAGCTTTGGATTTGCCTATGCTGGATATTCCATGTTCGTGGAATCATATAAAATGTGCTCTCTTATGACCGTCTTCTTTCATTTAGTGTATTTTTGAGATTCATCCACATTATAACATATTTCAGTACTTTTTTTTAATGGCTGAATAGTATTCTGTTGTGTGTCTGTACCATGATTTGCTTATCCATTTATCCAGTGGTGGACATGGCTGGGCTGTTTCCACCTTCTGGCTGTTGTCAGTAGTGTTGCTAGAGTGTACCTGTTTGTGTTTGAGTGCCTGTTTTCCATAGTATGATTTTTGAGCCCTACGGATGGTCTCTGAGGTTATCTAGTTCCTTGCTACTTGGGGAGTAGTATGGATGCCAGCAGCTTGAGTGTCACCTAAGAGCTGTTTAGAAATGGAAGTCTCAGGCCCACTCCACACCTGCTAAATTAGAATCTGCATTGCCGCAAGATCCAGGCGATTCATATGCACACTGAAGTTTGAGAACTTCAGTTCTGGTGGTGATCTAGTCAGTCTTTGGACCAGCTACTTTGCTTATGTGTAGTATTTATTTTAATTAATCAGGAAATGTAATTTTCTTAAATGTCAGTCCAAGAAAATCTTCATTAGAGCCCAGGATTCCTGTGGATGGTATAACTTACTACTCATGCCCTTTTGCCACTCTGGAAAACCAGTTAGAGGGTCAGTAGAACAGCTGGTAAACTTCTAGGAGACAACATTGAGTGTTGGCTAGCTTTCATTCAGCTTTAGAAGCAAGTGGTTATTAACTCATAGATCTGTGGAAATCCTTATTTTTAAAATATAGAAATCATAGAGTTATCAGCCTTTTGAGTTATTCTGTAGTAACTAAAATTTTCTAACTTGGATCACTTTGGGCCACAGAAGGCCTAGAATCCATGCATATTCTCTATTCCATTTTGAATATCTGCCCCCAAATTAATATTTTAAAGTTCATAGTCAATTAAAATCCCTCTAATTGTGACTGTATTTTTAAATGTATATTCTTGTGACTTTCAGTGTAGATTATAATTGCATAGCTGAAATTCATTAAATATATATTGTTGGGCCAATCCATGGGATAGGTAATATTGGCCCGTCAGAGGCTTTCTTTGCCGACCACATCTTGAAAATCACTAGTTTGAGGCACAGTGATTTAGAAGTGATTATGGAAATAATGTGTGTATATTTATGTATGTACCCATTTTTTACCCCAAGATTTAGGATTTCAAAAACTGGATTTACACTTATTTCCTAGAGATGTATATACATCAGGCACTAAAAGGGTTCTGGATACTCTGGGTGCTGTCCTGTTAGCTGCGTGGATAATTACAACTTGGCTATAAGCTAGAGTCAGGGGTGGGCTAGAAAGGACTGATACCATTCCAGCAAGGTTATAGGTGGCTCTGCAGGAATGTCTGGTCTTTTCTGACTCTGTTTATTCTGAGTTGACCTTTAATGGACAGTAAGAACTGAATGCTATATATATCATCATTAGTATTAGACACAAGTTGGATTTGGCCAAACTGGTTTTGTTTTATTTTATTTTATTTTTTTAAAGATTTTATTTACTTATCAGTCAGAGAGAGAGAGCACAAGCAGGGGGTGTGGCAGGTAGAGGGAGAAGCAGGCTCCTCGCTGAGCAAGGAGCCCAACGCAGGACTCCATCCCAGAAGCCTGGGATTATGACCTGAGCCGAAAGCAGACGCTCAACCAACTGAGCCACCCAGATGTCCCACTTGTGGGTGTTTTTTAATAGACTTTTATTTTACCTTTTTTAGCCTCTTCATCCTTCCTAAATCAGGCTGCTATGTATAATTTTGGAGCTGTAGAAAGCTCAGAGATCATCTTAATTCTGTGGGTCTGTCCCCCAACTACACATTTGAATTGCCTGGGGAATTCAGTAAAAGTACTTATTTGGGGGCACCTGGGTGGCCCAGTCAGTTAAGCATCTGCCTTCGGCTCAGGTCATGATCCCGGAGTCCTGGCATCGAGTCCCACATCAGGCTCCCTGCCCAGCGAGGAGTCTGCTTCTCCCTCTGCCCTTCACCCTGCTCGTGCTTGCTCGCTCGCTCTCTCAAATGAGTAAATAAAATCTTAAAAAGATAAAATAAAAAATAAAAGTACTTATTTGGGAGCACTAGAATCTCCCCAGAGATTCTGACTTAATTGGTCTGGATGGGTATATTTTTAAAACTCCCGAAGTGATTCTGAGGTCTGCCATCCAAAGGTAGAGTCTGATCAACTTCCTCGTGAATAGGGGGGCCTGCTTTATGACTTGATTCTAACAAATAGAATGTAGTGGACAGGGCGCCTGGGTGGCTCAGATGGTTAAGTGTCTGCCTTCAGCTCAGGTCATGATCCCAGAGTCCTGGGATTGAGTCCCACGTCGGGCTCCCTGCTCAGCGAGGAGCCTGCTTCTCCCTCTGCCTCTGCCCCTCTCTCTCCCTCTCTCTGTCTCTCTTGAATAAATAAATAAAAATCTTAAAAAAAAATGTAGTGGACCTGAATTATACTGTGTAATAGGTGAGATTAGGTTAGAAATGGCAGTATAACTTCTGACTCTTGGGATGCTTGCCCCTGGCACCCAGCCACCATGTTGTGAGGAAGCCCGGGCCATGTGTTAGGTATTCCAACTCGCAGCCCCAGGGAGGCCCTGACAACCAGCATCAACTGCCACACACAGGAGTGAGCAAGTATGAAGAGGATCCCAGTCCTTAGCCTCTGAGCCACCCAGCCAATGTCAGACCTCATGCAACTTGCAGATTCATGAGCAAAATCAATGGTGGTGGTGTTTTAAGCGTCTAAGCTAGGGGATGGTTTGCTATGTAGCAATAGATAACCAGACAAGTAATAGAATATTAAAGAATTTTAAACATTCATTCATGTTTACACAGCTTCTAATACCTTAACATTTTGTATGTGTATTACTTTTCAGTCTTTGGCACTGCATTCATATTTTATGGTTGTGTTAATAGCATGTATATATAGTTTCGTATCCATATTTTCTTTTGGGATTTTTGTCGGCCATTTTTAATAGGTAATCTTCATAAAGATGATTAAAACTGCATATCCTCTTGGTGCATGCCGTACCTATCCCTGTGCTTTCGGCAGAACTCAGCAAGCCCTGGCTTAACAGCTAGTTTCCCATAATTAGTGCATCCTGTATAGAAGAACCTCGGTATCCCTGCCAAGGGGAGAATATGGGTGGGTCTGTGTCTTCTCAGTTCCCTGTCCTGGAAGACTTGACTCCGTGTAGGTCCTCTCAGTGCTGAGTTGCAGCAGATATCCGTGTGCAGAGGGCAGCAGTGTTCTTTAAAAGTGTTTTTGTTTTCTTAATGTTTGTGCTTCAGATTTACCCTCAATACAGTGATGATGATAATATTTGGGGTAGAAGTCCTGGGAGTGGCTTTCCACTGAGTTGAGAATGATTTGGAAAAGAAGAAAGTAGAAAGCCTGGAAATAGATGGAAAGAAATGACCTGGGTGATTTTGCCTCATGGGTAGCAAGGGCTCGATCAGTTCAGAGACCATTGTAAACGTTACAGCAATTGTAAACATGATGCTGGAGAGTCCCAGAAAGTGGTAGTTTTGAGGAAATTGAAGAGGCTGTACAGTGGGAGTGGCATGAGTTTTTGAGTCAGTGGTCCTTAGCTTGAAATCCAGGGCTTTTCGATGAGCTCTGAAACTTGACCTTAGTCATCAGACTTTCCCCATGTGCTTCCTCATCTACAGAGTGGAAGTCGTAACCCCTGCTTCATGTGCTTGTAGTGGAAGCGGTCATGTCAACCAGGCATGTCCTCCCTACTCCAGCAAGAAGGGTGACTTTAACAGAACCCTGACGAGCTGAGAGTATGGACTGAAGAAGGTGAGAATATGACTCCGGCAGGGAAGGTGATGGGAAGTAGTTGTAGGTTGTATCTTTTCACATGGAGATCTTGATGGAGAGAAATACTGGGAGTTAAATTGCAGCCCTTAGCGACTGCCTGCTAAGTGCAAGACCTTCTATCAGACTCTGCTGGAGTGAGAACATGGGTACGTTCTGGCTCCTGTTCCTCAAGGTATTTACAGTCTAGTAAGAAAGACAAGTATATGCATAGGTAACTAATTCACAATTGGATGCTAATTCAGATACACCGGGAAAGATGAACTCTGCAGGAATTGGGTAGGTAACATTTCATAGAAGAGTTTGCATTTGAATTGGATCTTAAAAAGGAAAAGGCATTCTAGAAGCACGGGTGAGAAAATACAGTCTTGTTTAGTAACGGTACATAGCCTAGTGGAGCAAAAATATTGGGTGCACGGAGGGAGTGAGGTCGATTATAGAAGCAAATGTTTCTTTAGGCATCGAAAAGCCATTGAAGTTTTTTTGAGCCAGGAAGTGACATGATCAGACTGGCAGCATGTGTCTGGGTGGCTTGAAGGGAGGAAAGAGCAGTTGAATTGCCTTTGCATTAATACAGGCAAGAGAATAAGCTAGAGAGCAAAGGTTCTGACATCACCCGGGAGGCAGCTGTGAAAGAGCCCCCTTTCAGGGGAGGAGCGAGAGGACTTGGTGACAGATGGGAAGCTTGAAAGCTTGGTGAGCAGTGCCACAGGAGGAGGGCCGGAGGGAGGGGAGCACTTTCGGGGTTGGGAGGTGTGCCGCCTTTAATTTGCAACATGCTGGTGAGGGCTGGTCGGACTTGCATGGGAGATGACCAGCAGGCGCTCGGGAATGTGAGGTTGGCACTTCAGTGAAGTGAAGACTTGCAGATCTGCTAGTAGCTACTTAGTGGTCACAGCTGAGGCAGAGAGAGAAAAGAGAGTTGTTCAAAGAGGTAGTGTGTGCAGGGGAATAGAGTTACTAGATGATGAGAGCCTGAATTTTCTAAGGGTCTCGTTCTTGGGGTATACATGGTTAGTTCATGGGACAGTGCAGTGAGGGCTGACTGAGAAGGAGGCAGTTTCTGCTGAGATTAGGTTGCGAAGTCCGTTAGATGTGACTTGTGATTAATTCCTAAATTGCAGTGTTCAGAAGAATGAGTAACTAGCAAAAGTACACATTGTACCCTCTGCCTTTCTTGGAGCTGGGCCTGCCTTTCACCTGCCAGGGTCTGCCTTGGTTTAATGTTACCTAAGAGTGCAGCATCGTTAATGCCCTTAACCGGGCTCTTCTCTGTCTAGGAGAAGCTGAGACGAGAATAATTGAGTAATCTGATGCTAACTAGCACGGTAAATGGCATCGCATGTCAGGGGAAGGAGAGGAGGGTTATAGGAATGAACTCTGAACCTAGGATTCTCCCTTTATTCTGGATCTTCTGAAAGTAACCACTCAGAGAAGCCAGCTGGGGAGTTACAAGACATTGCTCCTGTGCAGTGCCCCTTTCCTTCAGTCTTCTCCGCAGGGCCAAAGCGATTCAGTTCTCCAATCAGGCTCTCCTCCTGAACAGGCTCTTCCCAGCTAACAGCCAGGTCCCTCCGGCCTTGCGACTGGACAGTTCTCTCCTAAACACAGAAGCATTTTGTAATGTACCTGAAGTGTGAAAAAGCGAAGCTAGATGCACAAAGCAGGAGGGCAAGGCGATGTTGATGGCAGCTCTGCGACAGAGCTAGAAGATGTAGGGTCTCATTTACCCTGTACCTTTCCAGTTAAAACACCTCGGCCATCTTGAATTTTGCAACGAGGCAGTTCTCACAGACTTAAATTCTAGTGCTCAAGAGGCTTGATGTCATATATGAACGGCCTATTGCAGCCTCATCTGAGTATCAGACTTGTCAGTACACAACCACGTTCTTCTGATTCCGTCTATGCCTGCTGTACCAGTGCGGTCTTGGCCACAATGGAAAACCCCAAACTCCAGTTGAGTGGCCTGTGTTTGTATGTCAGGCTTGCTATAAGCTCTCTTGCCCCTATTACCCTCTTCCCTAGATGGAATTCCCAGGCGGAGTCTACCTTCCTCCATTGTAGGCATTTCTTTTACGTTTTTTTCTAGAAAAGATCATCCATGCATAGAGCCAAGAAACATCAGTGCTAAATATCCGAAGTATAGAAAATGGGCTATGTGGGTTTTCTTGCCTTAGACCTCTTCTGAGTGGGTGACTCTAAGCTGTCTTTTTTTCTTAGACAGTGGTGTTTGAAGAAATTTCTAGACGAGGTCAGGTCACTGATTAAACTCATGTCCTGCTTTTGGCTCTGCTGGACCGTCCAGAGCAGTCTTGCTGATACTTGAGTCTCTGCCAGCAGAATCTACGCCAAATGCTTTGGGCTGTGTGGGTTTTGCTGCATCACAGAATGATAGGGTTCTCTCTCACCTTGCGTAACTGTGGAAACAGGTTTGAAAAGACACCTTTTAAAATTTCTATTTCTTTGACTTGCCATGGACATAACTTTTTTTTTTTTTTTTAGATTTTATTTATTTGACAGAGAGATACACAGCGAAAGAGGAAACACAAGCAGGAGGGAGTGGGAGAGGGAGAAGCAGACTCACCACTGAGCAGGGAGCCCGATGCGGGACTCGATCCCAGGATCCCGGGATCATGACCTGAGCCGAAGGTGCTCAGATGCTTAACGACTGAGCCACCCAGGCGCCCCTGGACATAACTTTTTATGCAGTGATAACATATTCCAGTTAGGGATAAGTGAGCTCGTTTTCACCTCTCATTATGGGATAGTGGGAGAGACCCTGGCTCACTGTAGTTAGATGGGTGTTAAGGAAGAGAGGCTCTAGGAAGAGGCTTCTCTTCTAGATCTCTTCTAGAGTCCATTAGTATTTCAGTCACAGTGAGGACAGTTAGGGTGTTTTGCAGTTTCCGAAGTTCTGTCACATATATGATCTCATTTGATCCTAAGCAACCCCGTGAAGCAGAAGGTTGATGTACCATCAGTCCTATTTTGTAGATAGAAAAGAGTGTTGGGATAAGTTGCTTAAGGGACTTAGCATAAGTGTTCAGTTAGATTTTTTTTTTTTAATCTCCATATGGTGTTTTTGTTTAACACTATGCCCTTCTATATCATGTTGTGGGGTCCTCCTATTACAAGGCTACTCAGAGGTGGATGGACAGTCTAGACATGTATATTATTTAAATACTCAAAAACTAAAACTGTTGCTTCTGGAATAATTTGGGGGGTAGGCAGCATCAGGTGGTAGGCAGTTGCTGAAAGGATGCTTGATTTTGCTGTTTGTGAATAGCTGCTGTTTGGCAGTGAAGAAGAAACACGAGAGGTCTAGTACCGTCAGCTAGTGATTTCCTTAGGTGCCCTGAAGACAGACTTAGGCAGAGAACCTAGGCCCAAGAAATTTACCCAAGCTTCTTGAGACTCTAGGCCTTTACTGTAGGTGACTCATCTTTTGTTCCTTGTCATCAAGGAGGGGGACTGCTCTAGAAGGAGGCGGCTTTGACTTTCCTTTTAGAGTGAGTGCTTTCTCAGCTACAGTCCCATCTCAGGTGACTGGGATTGAGGCTTTCTTAGAATGGAAATGGAGTCATTTGCTGTATGAAGAAGGATCCCCTTCTATGTGTTGCCGTTTCTCCCCACAGTGGGCCACCTTGAGGATGGAGAGAGGTGCCAAGGAGAAAAACCACCAACTTTACAAGCCCTATACCAATGGTAAGACCGGCTCTTCCTCCTTATCCCAAACAGTCCCTTTGAAACATGTTCCTAAGTGCTTTTAATTCCACACATACTCTTCACTATATCAAAGGGAGGATATGGACTCTGAATATTTTTTAATGATTTTTATTTATTGATTTATTTATTGAGAGAGAGAGTGTGGGCGGGGGGAGGACCAGAGGGAGAACGAGAAGCAGACTCCGTGCTAAGCACAGAGACCAATGAGGGGTTCGATCCCAGGACCCTGAGATCATGACCTGAGCTGAAACCAAATAATTGTGTGCTTACCTGACTGAGCCACCCAGGCGCCCCTGGACTCTGAGTATTTTTAACATGCTTCCTTCCAGCATGCTGCTTGACATGGATATTCTCGTTTGCAGGAATCATTGCAAAAGATCCCACTTCACTAGAAGAAGAGATCAAAGAAATTCGTCGAAGTGGTAGTAGTAAGGCTCTGGATAATACTCCAGAGTTTGAGCTCTCTGACATTTTCTACTTTTGCCGGAAAGGAATGGAGACCATTATGGATGATGAGGTGACAAAGAGATTCTCAGCAGAGGAGTTGGAGTCCTGGAACCTGCTGAGTAGAACCAACTATAACTTCCAGTACATCAGCCTTCGGCTCACCGTCTTATGGGGGTTAGGAGTGCTGATTCGCTATTGCTTCCTTCTGCCACTCAGGTGAGGGCAGGCTGGATGGGGATTAAAGGCCTGGGCTGCTGCTGCTGCCTAAGCCCAAGGCGTGGTTGGCCTCTCTGCATTGCTCTGCTTTGCTTTCCCATTTTAGAAAGGAGCATGGTTTGATTCTGTCACTGGCCAGTCCATCTGACTCTTGGAAGGGTACGCTGGGGTTATCTTTTAAAGGCCCTTGGATTCTCTGCATATCAGACAGAAATCGTGGGGTTTCTTAAAATCAGACTGCTTGTCTAGATGGCCTAAACAGGGACAGGGAACATGGTGTACTTTCTGGCCACTCTTCCCTGGGCATGGCTGATGCTTTCCTGCAAGCTTGCCGCTCTAATACAGAGGCAATATTGAACTCTTGGTTTTTCTGTACCACGTGCTGTTCTGAGTATGCCTTGCTGGCTGCCGGTACCTTCAGGCTCTACTTCCTATTGCTCCACAGAGAAGCTCTGCTTCCGCCAGGGTGTGGAGCCAAAGGGAAGGGTGAGACAGCAGGACAGCAGGTGCCTGAGGGCAGAGCGGCCAACAGTAGGCTTTTCCATCTTTCTGGCTGCCTCATGGCTGAGGAGATAGCATCTGCTGAGAGCCAAATCCATAGCTCACTGTCAGTTTGGAATTAAAAGGATTTCTGCTCTCTTTTCTAGATGAAACTTACCTGGATCCTAGGTGATCAGATGGTCTTGGGGTTGGTTTTCATGACGCTCACTTTCATCTTCACATGTTCCAGTCTATCTGTAGTGCAAGGATTTGTTTGCTGTGTTTTCACGTGTCGTCTTCTTACAGGATAGCTCTTGCTTTTACTGGGATTAGCCTTCTGGTGGTAGGCACGACCGTGGTGGGATACCTGCCAAACGGGAGGTGAGTGGTTTACAAGAGTCCGTGCTGGAGGGTACTTAGTTCTGCAATGGTGGCTCCAGCCAGGCCACTCCTCTGGGGACAGCCAGACCCACGGCATCTTATATAGATAAGTTAACCCATTGATAACAGTGGCGTCAGCATTAAGATTGTATTTTTCACCAGTCACACACTTCCCATTTTAAAGACAAGGGAGGAACCTCACAGCCGTGGAGTCCAGGGCCAGCAGATTTTTTTTTTTTTTTTTAAGATTTTATTTATTTGACAGAGACACAGCAAGAGAGGGAACACAAGCAGAGGGATTGGGAGAGGGAGAAGCGGGCTCCTTGCCCTGCGGGGCTCGATCCCAGGACCCTGGGATCTTGACCTGAGCCGAAGGCAGATGCCTAGTGACTGAGCCACCCAGGCGCCCAGGTCCAACAGATTTTACAGCATTTAATTTAGTTTTGAGCATTCTGCTGTGTTGATAAATTGGTAAAAGGAAAAGAAATATAGGTAGGGTTTTTTTTGTGGAGAAATTTGTTCCTCCTGGAAGTTCTGGGGCTAGCTCTCTTCTTCCCTGGGCTGGTGAGGTTAGACTCTGTCCTTGGAAAGGAAAGGAATCGAGGAGGCTCACCTTTGCTGGAAATTTGAGGGCTATAAATTCTAAACCCAGTCACTTCAGTGAATATAAGCACTTCTTGTCATTTCTCTGTTTCCTCATTACATAGGCATAAAGACACTTGTACACCATAGAGTTTTACCATATGCAGTAATATTTATAAAAACATCTGCAGTCGTAAAGGGCTGTAGGCAGTGATAGTTACATTGTTAGAGGCCGTAACTTTTCCTGACTTCCTATGTATGAAGTAAAAATAAAAATCTTCGTCCTGTCCCACCAGGTTTAAGGAGTTCCTGAGTAAACATGTTCACTTAATGTGTTACCGGATCTGTGTGCGAGCCCTGACAGCCATCATTACCTACCACGACAGGTGAGGGCACTTTGCATGACACGGCGAAATGGCATTGGCCAGCGAGGGCTCTTCTGAGCTCTCAGAGCCCATGAGGTGGGTGAGGTAAGGGCTGAGTTCCAGATCAGTTGTTTCACATGGATTTTCTTGTTTTGCGTTCTTTTTTAAACACAGGGAAAACAGGCCTAGAAACGGTGGCATCTGTGTGGCCAATCACACCTCTCCAATTGACGTCATCATTTTGGCCAGTGATGGCTATTATGCCATGGTAAGATCATTTTCTGTTGCTTTCTTGGGTAAGTAAGAGCTTTAGAATGCTCAGGGCTGGGGGATGCTTCTGGACCCTTCAGAAAGCTCTTACTTAGGAATATAAACATGGAAACATGTTTTTACACACGGGCTCCAATCTAGATTGTCGCCTCTGTTTGTGTTGCTTTGAAAAATCCTTGGGACTTTGATAGGGGGTATTCTGAGCAGGGTAATAACTAAGAGTGTGGTTGGAGATTAGACTTTGGATGTTTAGGCAGACCATGGGAGGGGGTGAAGGACAGGGAAGAAGGATTTGAAAGGACTGGGTTCAAGGGCATTGGAGAATTTGCCCAGGAAAAGCATTTTTACACAAGGTATTATTTCTTCATTATTTCTTTTTTGGGTGTTCAGCTATGTTTTTAATGATGTATCTTTGATATCACTGAATAATAAAAGGCAAAATTTAAGATTCAGAGAGTCTAATAATGGTTTCTTAATAGTGAGAAACCTATGCTTGTCAAAATGTTAGAGGGTGAGAGGTTGGGGTACTTTCCTTTTGGGATCTGGGGCTGTCTCCACAGAGTGGGGGATTTGTGTGAGGATGGCTTCACTCCCGGTTATTCCTTTCTGTGAGATTAGGTGGGTCAAGTGCACGGGGGACTCATGGGTGTGATTCAGAGAGCCATGGTGAAGGCCTGCCCGCACGTCTGGTTTGAGCGTTCTGAAGTGAAAGATCGCCACCTGGTGGCTAAAAGGTAAATCCACAAAATGCTGTTGCTCTGTATGACCAGTTAGAACGAATGCGTTTTAGGGGTAGTTATCCCTCCACCGTAGAATCATAGCGTCTCCTACACTGAGCCTGTACTGCTTTCATAATAAAACGTTTTTTCCCCCTAAGATATGGAATATAAGAAGGTATAGAAACCTTGGTATTATTTGCCAAGTTAGTAATCTCTCAACCTTTTTCCTTCCTTCTACTTCTTGTAATAAACCACATATGAACTTTTAAGGCTATTTGAAATATCAAGGTGAACTCATTATCACAAATAAAAACAAACTTAAGGCAGTGGAAAAAAGGTAGAGCTGGTGTACATAATGGCAAGAGCTTTGCAGGAAACCGAGAGGAATGAAGACTCAGCTGAGACCATCTTCTACAGGGACAGGTGAACCTGCCCCGGATTCCCTTTACTGCATCTCTCAGGGACAGTGCTAAGCCAGGTGGACTGGTAGGTTTAACCCAGCACGGCTGTCAGGAAGTCCAGAAATCCAGTAACAAGTGTTTATTGAGGGTGCTGTTAGCAAGGCCCTGTGGCAGGCACATCCTTTAGGTCGTCCCACGTCTGAGCAGTGTCCTCTACATAGACCTTAATACTTAACTGAACAGCTGGATTAGTTAAATAGTCATCTGATTCTCCCTGTCTGTATAAGTTTTGTCTTTATGAGATTCAGACTGTGGGTTTATAAAAGATCATATTTGTTAACTTGCTTTCATACGCCATCCGGTGTGACATCTGCATAGCTTATTTATAAGTGCATTTTGATGATGGATGTAAGGCTGTCTGAACCTTTGTTTTCTTTTTCCCTTCCAAAGGCTGACTGAGCATGTGCAGGATAAAAGCAAGCTACCCATCCTCATCTTCCCAGAGGGTAAGAAGGGGTCGATCCCTGTAGAGAGCTTCTGTGTGGGAGGGTCCAGAGGCCATGCAGGATGGTTTTATCCTGTTTGAAGAGCCATTAGAAGAATTTTTCTTAATACATTCAGTTCTTAAACTCCTAATCTCTGAGGTAAAAGGACCAAAAGAAATTGCATTTTACTCTCCTGTGTTTTAGGAACCTGCATCAATAATACATCAGTGATGATGTTCAAGAAGGGAAGTTTTGAAATTGGAGCCACGGTTTACCCCGTTGCTATCAAGGTACAAGACCTCTGAGGACGCATGTGGTCATTGTCACAGCTGCCATGAATGGGACACAGCAAGAGAAAGGGGAGGAAGAAGGTGGTGTCACCGGTCAGCGGGTCGGTCCTCCGGTGGAGCAGCTTGGGCCGGGCTAGTGTGGGTAGAGCGTGCCAGAGGAGGAGAAAGGAATTGTTCACGGTTCACAGCCCACTAGAAGGGACAGGGGAGTGTCCGAATGAGAACCAGCCCGTTCTGGCCCACACCTTGCTGCCATCACCAGATTCAGGAAATGGCAAACTCTTTCACAAGCTTTGCATGTTGTCCCCCGCTTATGACATCTTCATAAACCTTCCAGGAGTGGAAGGTAGTCCACTTGAAGAGGAGGCTTGCTGCAGGGAGTGGGGGTATGGTCCAGCTGGATGTGTACATTTGGTGGAGAGGTGAGCATGAATGGCTACAGATGTGTCCTTGATCCTGAAGGAAGAAACAGCTCCACTGCTCTGTGGTGCAGTATCATTGTAAATACCAGGAACTATGGATGAAATGAGATGCATCTTAAGAGCTTGTCCAGGCTGTCCCCCACCATTTAGGAACTTGTACTTCAAACTCACTGGGAAGATGGGATTCAGTTAGTTTCCTCTCTCCGCCTTTACATCCATCTGGTTTTATAAATCCGTACATTGTACTATTTCTAAAAGAATGTTATGACATTATTACTTCTAAACACTACAGGCTGTTGTCAGTGTGTTTAGTGCTTACGTTGAAATCTCAGATCAGGGTAGAACAGCAAGTACGTTTGTGCCAGTTCTACTTAAAATTTAGTCTCCACCCTTCCGCAAGGGTCTGCGTGTTGTCTGCAGAGCATTCTGTGGAAAGAATCAGCGTCACTTAGCACGGCCAGTGCAGTGGAGGAAGAGGGGTCTGTCTTGCGGAAACATGCTTACCAGCACTCCCCTTTGCCAGGGAGGCCGAGCACTGGGGCAGGAGTGGTAGATGCATGCTAGCTGGAGGAGAACTGGCTGACCCATGGGTCAGGGCTGCCCAGGCCTCCTATTGAGGGTACTGTCTCTGGGAACAGCACGAAAGAGAACAGTCTGTTAGTGGTGTCTGCCATGGGAGGAGAGCTGGGGAGTGGTGTCTGTGTCTCCCACATCCCATCCTGCATTTCAGTATCCAGTGCACCCCATACATGGGCATTAAAAACATTATTAGAAGAGGCCCTTCCTTACTGTTTGCTCCAGAACGTCAGTTCCTTTGTAGCTGTATCAGCATCCCCTGGAGGGACTGGGAAAATGGTGTTTCTGAACTTGCATTTCTAACCTGTTCTGGGGTGCTCCAGATGGGCTGGTTGGGAACCACACTTGGGGAGCCCTGCTGTGGAGCAGTGGTTCTTAAACAGTTTTGAAACATGTACCCTTAGGCCAGTTATGGCTCCTCTCCAAAGAAAAAGGCATGTCAGCTTTACATATAATTTCACTCTGTCCACAGATTTATTTAAGCCCACTTAGGATTAAGAACTGCTCTACAACAACTTTGCTAGTTTTTGTAAGGCCTTCATTGGTAACCAGATTTGGATAACCTTAGCAGTTTCAAGGCTCTTAATATATTTCCACCAAAATTAGGCCATTATTTGATTTTGAGAAATTTATTGCAGTTTTCAGTTTCTGCCTTCTTTTTCTCTCTACGGTGTCAGCCCAGCATGGAACAGAGATTCAGCTCTAAACAAAGGGCTCTCGCATTTGATGTCAAATATTTTATCCATATAGTACTTTATAAAATATAACACCATTTTCTTCAAAACATAAGTATTAGTTTCTGTTTAAAACTCATTCTTCTCCCTTATTTCCCTTTGCTATTATAATGTAAGCTCACGGAACTTTCTGTAGTTAAATCTAAATTTCTTAGTTTAGTCTGTAATTTAATCTAAATGTCTTCCTTCCTGTGCGGTCAGGTCCACGGCTAGGCATAATTATCAGAAACTGTGAACAGTTTCTGTTCTGAGAATCATTAAATCTAGGCTTGAGGAGCCTGAAAGATCCTGTGGTTCACACCCAGCCCCACTCCGTCAAGGGCGACTCCCCACAGCATCCCTGCCGGTGCTCCTCTCAGCTTCTCCAGGGAGAGGGCGTTTCTCACACCGTTAGCAGCTTGCTCCTGCGCGATCTCTCTTGCCATTCCATCTCCTTTTCTTTTTCTGGTCCTCGTCTTTGCCTGAGGCCGTGCGTGTGATAGCCCCTCAGACATTTGCTAGCAGGTTCGGGACACTCCGTTCCGGAATTCTCTTTGAGAACTCAGTTCCTTTTGTTGCTTCTTACGTAACTTCCTCACCTCTCCCCCACTGCTTACCTGCCGCTTAGATTTCTCTTCTAGTGGGTGAGATTGCGGGTCACAGCTTCAGCCATGTTGCCCACAAAATGCAGCCTTCGCTTGCATTAGAGTCGCTGGCAAAAGAAAGTTTCTGGTGAGCCTGCTGCTTGTGCGTGGCGGAGGCCTCGTGAACTGTCCTGCGCACCTGAAGTGCGCTGAAGAATGCTGGTGCCGCGATCAGACCAGAGCCTCTTGCTCACAGTTAGCTTTGTTCGTGGTGTCATCACAGAAGTGTATCAGAAGCTTTGTCATTGTTTTCTCCTTGGTCAGGGGCACCAGAAATGATATTAAAAAGTTGGTATCTTTGGGTGAGGTACATGTAGAAGTATGGATGAGTGAATGAGGCAGTGTTGGAGATAGGTGAAGCACGTGTGGTGGAATGTTCTAATGGTCAAATCTGGGGAATGGTGGTAGGAGAGTATCTTCTTCTCTCCGGTTTGGGATATGCTTCAACATGTTAATAATTACATACACCTATGAGTGAGGAAGACGTGAAAAGGGTCAAAGAGGGAGCTCATTTGTTTAAGGAAAGCAATTTGGGGAGTCCTCCCTGATGATCTACAGCAGAATCTTGAGCCCATCGGGAGGTTCATGTTGCTAGAGGTCAGAACTGCCCGGGCATAGAATTACTTCAGAAGTGTTCGTGCAGGGGTCTGAGAGCGGCTTTCTGGAACTGATACTGCCCCAGGTGATGCAGTCACAAAAGTTGCTGGCGACACCCACGTTTTATTAGAACTACTGACTTCTTATCATCCAGTTTTCCATTGCTTTTCAGTATGATCCTCAATTTGGTGATGCCTTCTGGAACAGCAGCAAGTACGGGATGGTGACGTACCTGCTGAGAATGATGACCAGTTGGGCCATTGTCTGCAGCGTTTGGTACCTGCCTCCCATGACCAGAGAGGTGGGTACTCACACCGTGCAGAGGTCTTGGCTTCCTTCTGTGTGACTCCAGTCTGTGTTGAGTGGTCTCATTTATTCTTTCTTACAGACAGATGAAGATGCCGTCCAGTTTGCAAATAGGGTGAAATCCGCCATTGCCAGGCAGGGGGGCCTCGTGGACCTGCTGTGGTGAGTCAGAGCCAGGTTTTATGTGCAGAGTCTAGCAGGATGTGAATGTCTGAAGCAGATGCTGAATTGTCTCCTTTTACGAAGAATCTGTCTCTCCCTGGTGTGGAGAATTAAGCTCGCCAGCCTTGGAGAGTGAGCAGTGTGACTCCTTTCTCCTAGTTCCAGCTCAGAAGTGTCCCATGCTGCCTTGACCTTGGGCACACAGAGCCCAGCATGCTTGGGCTGAAGCAGTTGATTCTCTGCACCTTCTGGGGTCTGTACCCGTCTGCCAGGGCACCTAGACAGTCCTTGTCTCTTTAGGTAGGGGTGACCTGATGCTGGTCTGGAAACTGCCTAAACTGGGCTCTCTGATCTTATGTATTTGGTAAAACTGGACCATCCATAGAAAGGCAGAAGTTTCATTTATTACATTTAGTTGTTCCCTACTAGAGCAGGAGTTGGCAAGCTCTCTCTGTGAAGTCAGTAAATACTGTAGACTTTGTGGATCATGCAGCCGCTGTCATGACTGCTTCAGTCTGCCACTGTCATGTGACAGCAACCTGAGACCATATGGAAACACATGAGCATGCCTGGGTTCCAGTAAAACGTTCTCAGAACAGGTGTTAAGGCTAGATTTGGCCCACAGGCCATAGTTGTGGACCCTTACACTAGAGTATGAGATAGTTAGACTCCAAATATCAGGAGCTGAATTGGGAGGAATGCTGGTTCAGGGAAATCATTCCATCCTCTAGGCCCCTTCATTTTAAGCACAGGGGTCAGTTCTATGGGGCACTTAACTAAAGTGGGCATTATGGGAAAAGGATGTAGTAGAGATTCACAGTTTAAACTGACATGTGGGTTCTCAGGTGGTGGCATGGTCCTCGAGTGCTCATTGTGAGCCAGTCAGTGTGCCGCTGCCGAGGATGACCTCACCCCATCCTCACAGTAAACCCATGCAGGGTCAGGATTGTTACTCCCATTTCACAGATGAGACAGCAGAACTCAAAGAGGTCCAGAAACCTTCTCAGAGTTGCAGAGGAATCAGGGCATCAGACTTTGAGCTCAGGTCTGACAGGCTGTTAGGGCTGGAATGTTTAACCACTGTTCCACATTCCCTGTCCGCGGGGCCTTAGATCAGCGTGACTGCCTTTAAAAAGGCACCTTTGCTGTGGATTGTAAAGGGCGTCACAGATAGAAGAGCGTTTGCTGTGAGGTCTGTCCAGTGTTGGGGGCAGTGCTTCATCAGACTTTCTCTGCCGCCACCACCTGCATAACTCAGAGGGGGAAGTATAGGTGTTCCAGAAAGCCTGGAAGTGGACTGGGGTTTCCATCAGTCACTGAAGGTAGGTGATGCTAATTCTAGGGTGTAGGTGAGCAGTTGGGGTGCCAGTTAGGAATGGGACTTTGAAGAAGCAGATCCCAGTGTAGAGGTAGTCGTCAGCCCAGGAGTCTGAGAGCGACTTGGATTTCTCTCCAGCACCATCCTTCAAGCATGGAAGAAGTAAGGATTCGCAGTTCCCCTTGTGTTCGTTGTTGGCATGAATCTCTGGGTCTGAGTCTTAACAGACTTTATTTCACAGATCAGATTTACAGCTGCATTACAGTCTCAGTAGTTCTTAAAGCTTGGCTCACCTTTCGTGATGCCAGGATACCTCCTTTATCTGTTGTCGGGTGAAGGTGAATGTTTGAGTAGAAAGCATTGTACACTCCTTGGTCGGTAGGTTTGAGCGATTACAAAGTACCTTGACCACCTTGACCGTGAGTAGTGACTTCTGACCTCAGGGCAAGAGTGAGAGATTTAAGGTAGAAACGGTGGAATTGGAGAGTGCCTGGTCAGTATCTGAGGCCACCCTCCCAGGACAGAGAGCCATGGAGTGCTTTTGTTTCTGACAGGCTCTGGGGTTTTGAGCAGTGTGGTGCTGTGATCTAATGGTGGGTAGGAGGTCTTCTTTGCTATTACACCACACTTTCTCTCATCAGGGATGGTGGTCTGAAGAGGGAGAAGGTGAAGGACACATTCAAAGAGGAGCAGCAGAAGCTGTACAGCAAAATGATCGTTGGGAACCACGAGGACCGGAGCCGGTCCTGAGCCTGCGCCTTGCGCTGCCTGGAGCCACCCCCCGCAGGTCTGGACCCGCGAGCCAGCTGCCGCCCCCGCCGCCTTTCCGACTCCGGGGCTCCCCAGGACTCCAGCTTCTTCAGACCCGCCCCAGAGATCCCTGGGCGCACCGCCTGAAGTGGACGCTGCTGGGGGTTGCTGCCCAGGATGAGATGCCTTCTTGTTTCTTTTACACTAAGTCCGTCGGAGGAATGCCATTAAAGTCACCTCTCCACCTGTACATGTGTGGGGCTGAGTGGTGGGGAAGAAGCGGCCACTTTCCCGTGTCCGGGACATTAGCATGTCAGTCTGTTACGGATGCCACCTGCCAGGGACTTTGTTGGGGAAAGGGTCCCCCCATTTGTGAGGAGAGGCACTGCCGAGGCAGTGTGACTTGCTTCAGCCTAAACATCAGCCCCCGAAGCCTCGGAGCTCCGCAGACTGGATAAAAGGAAAACCGCTGTCTGCAGGGGCTTTCGGCAAAATGAGGTTTTAATTCTTGTGCTCCTGCCCACGGGCAGTCACCAGACGGGATGGCAAGAAGCGAGGCGGACCGGTGACTAGGGTGTGGTGGGAACCAAGAGTCATTTTGTGTTCAAACTCCAGTGCTAACCCTGAACTCCCATGTGACTTGCTCTTTGTTAACTGCTGCCTCAGTTTCCCCATCTGTAACCTGCTTCAGGAGGGGAAGGGTGGTGATACCTACCTCACAGGGTTGTTGTGGGGATTGAAGTGCTATTTTAAAGGACAAGTTGTTCAGTGTTACAAGTATAGGTCCATGAAACGTGGCAGGAAAAGGTCTGAACTCAGAGCTGCTGCAAAGGGCTTTGAGTTTGTTTTTGTGAGTAAATAAAATTGTCTTTGATGGTCAATTAATTGAGGGGTTTTCCCCTTCACTCTTTGTCCCTTGGATGTAGCCCTAGGCAGCACACTTCCTACAGCAGTTACAGTTTTCTGACTCAACCAAAGCCCCGGGACTGTAGGGAATCCACTTGACTTCTGGAATGAGGAATAGTAGTGTTCAGAAGAAGCTACTCCTCATATCAGATGTTTGCCTCTCTCTCTGATTAACTTAGAACTTCCAGTACAGACTGAGATGTGGATTTCTCCGATGGGTGCCTGGGATTAGAGGCGTGTGAAGAGGCACCATTTGTTGGGGTGAGGGCAGGGCGGTCTGGATGTAAGGACAGTGGGAAGCAGCAAGGAAATGGGGCAAGGTAGGAACAGAGGCTCTGGAAGGGTTAGTGAGGGGTCAGGATGGGCAGGTGGCTCTTGGGTGCACTGTGGGCTTCCACACAGCCGGAGGAAGACTGTGGGCTTCCTGGGTCCCCTGCGCCCACCTACAGTCACCGTGAAGGCGGATCCAAAGCCACGCAACCCTCACAGTTCTGACTCCTAGGGTGTACCAGTTTCACATCCCTAACAAGAGAGAGTTGCCTTCCCCCCCCCCCCCCCCCATTTACCCAGCTTTCCGTCCCTCCCCACTTCCACCCCTGGCTCCAGCGTGGCACAGCTGTGGCCCCTTTCAGGATTTGCACCAGCCGTGGTAAGCATCACCTCTCCCAGACTGCCCTCTGGCCTGTGCCCAGGGATGAGGTGGGAGGGCAGCCCTGCTCCTGAGGCACTGACTTGATAGCACTTGGCCTTCCCTGCCCTGACTGCTTCCGCTTCCTTTGCCTCCCTTGCTAGCCTTCCATTTCCTCTTACCTGCCCTATTGCTAACCAGTGAAAAACGATTTTTCTTTCCAATAAAAACCCTGTTTTGACTGTAAGGAACAGCCTCTTATGACCTGTTTTACGAAGAGTAAACAGTGGTTTTCAGCCTTTAGGAGGAGGCAGTATATTTATAGTGTTTAAAGACCACCCAGAATGATCTTTAAAATCAGTTTTGAAGATCAAGTTCCCTTTTTTTAGAAGTTCTTTTTTAAAAAGCTCTGTTGTTTAGTACGTTTATATCATGATTTTCATAGGTGTGCTGAAAAGATAAAAACAGTATTAAAAATAGGCCTATCTATTGATGACCTAGCAGAGGATTGCAAGAGCCTGGGTTAGAATCAGCTGCTGTGTAAAGAAATACTTGTGGAAACTAAGCAAGGATTATTCTACTGTTTTACTAAGAGAAGAGATGTGAATTACACCCCCCAGAAAAGCAATTTCTAAAATTTTCATATAGTGCTTGTCGTAAGTATGGAGACTCATCAAACTACACGGCCATCCTTTTTAATTGGGGACCTGCAGGCCCCGCATTACCCCTAAGTCAGATGCTTGGTTTGGGATAACTGGACAGGTCTTGGGTGGTAAAGCCTTACAACATGCAGGAACGACAGAATCATGTAAAGCAATGCCAAGTACAGAATACTCTCATGCTTAGGATCCTAGCAACAATGAGGATGATTTGGGAATAAAACCAACGGCATCAATTTGGCGGGATGAGCACTGGCCAGCTTCTAATACCACTTCCAAACCTGCTGCTCATTTGCTGTTTTGACTTTTATTTCTCCATTTCCTGATCCACAATTAAGGACTTGGGCTAGATGGCCTCCAGAGCTCTTTCCACCTCAAGTGTCTGTAATTTTAAAAACCCTGGTTCAAATTTTATTTCTGGGTTCTAAAGTCATCTGGTTCAGAAGTAGTTCCGTTTGTATCGGTTTAGTTCCTCTAGAACATAGGGCTAGTGGACGCTCCAGTAGAGTCCCTCCGTGTTTTAGGTGAAGCGGGGGGCTGCCTGGGTTTGAATGTGGATCTCGGCTAGCTGTTTCCATTCAACCGGGAGGTATTGTTCCAGCTAATTAGACAAGGAACTTTCCAGAAAGGCTAGTAAAGTTCCCCTGTCAGAGGGAGCTCAGCAGAAGGCCATCAGCCAGGCCAGAGCTCCGCAAGCTCAGCCTGATGGAGCAGTTTGAGATGATGGCCTTGTGACAGGAGAACCAACTTGAGCACTTGCTTCTTTACTCCCTGCGGCTGCCCTTCCGAGGGGAAAAGAGGCTGGCCGTGAGGGGGCAGGGAGCCCCCCGCGGATCCCCCGAGTGCTCAGCCCTTGGCAGCATCACCCCGTCGACGGCGGGCGCCAACCCTGCCCACCCGCAGAGGTGTTCTGGGTCTGGAGAGCCTGCCGTTCCTTCCGGGAACTGCCCCCGAGCCCCCTGGTCCGTGGGGTAGGTGCCCTCGCGTCCGGGACACAGCAGCGACAGAGAGCCCGCCGGGGTGTGCCTCCGGGGCGCACGCGCGCTGTGTGGCCTGGGACCTGCGGGCCGGAAGGGCAGCGGCACGCACTCTGGCTCTCGAACCCGCTAGGAGACGGCCGTCCGGCCATCCATCTTCCGTGGCGCTAACACCCCCTCTCCCCCCCTCCCAGTCAATATGTCTCTCTCCGATGGGAAAGTTAATAAATTTTGCTCTAGATTAAAAGTATTGATCATTTCATTTGTAAACGATAAATAAAAAGGGGGGACTTTTCATTGCAGCCGGGGTAGCGTCTGGTGTATTTTGCCGCTGCAATCGCGCCAGGCGTGGGGGGGCGGGGGGGCTTCTCATATGCATTCCGGCCGGCCAGCTGCATTGATTTTCTATTAGTCTCCCCAGCACCACCCAGTAACACATCATTTCAGTACCTGCTATTAATGGTCTTTTGATAAATAATCACTTGTAAGTCAATAAATTTTTATTAAACAGTGTGGCTCTTTGATTTATTAAAATCCGACCGTGTTTGTCTGGGAGAAAAGGGATGCTGAATTGAAGTGGAGGCTTTCATACATCTTCCTGACGCCGAGCAGTCACCGCACACTCCAGAGAAAAACAATTGCATTTTAACAGAAACAAAACAGCCGAGTTTGGAACTTGAGCCCGGGGAAACTTTATCTTCGTCAGTCTGATCCTTTCCTCTGCAGGGAGCAGCGGCGGGCCGGAGGGCGCCGCCGTGTCAAGAACTTTGTTTACTTCCGAGAGCGGTGAGCTACCTTGGCCGGGCCCCGCGTGCGCGCGCGCACACAACGCACACGCACACGCACACGCACCCGGGGTCAGCGCAGAGCCTGAGCCGTCCCGCAGGCCGCCCCACCTGCTGCACCCCCGAGTAGGCACCCTTGACAAGCAGGCATCGGGGACCCATGAGAAAAGTTGGATTGCAGGGCCTTTCGGCTTCCATCCCCACCGAATCTCCCAGGTCCCATCTTGCGGCAGGAAATGCCAAGAGATACGTTACATTTTATGTAGAGATCTGGCTGTATGGATGATTTTTTTTAAAGTGGGCCAATAGCTGAAGACTGGAGGACTTTTTTTGTGAGATGGTCATGGCATTAAAATTTGCTGTAAAGGGTTGACAAGTTTTCGTTGAGGCTAATATGGCCCCACAGGGATTGTCATGGGTACAGAGGCCCAAGTACTGAATACAGAAGCAGAACTCCCAGCCCGGGCGGAAGCAGGAGAAAGGGGGAGAATGTGGCTAGTAAAATGCTTGTATTAAAGCTCATGGGTAGAACTCCTTGACTCTGGCCCTATCCAGGCTACTACTGTGACTCTTTTTCCCTTCCTGGTCAGTGTGACAGGTGTTAACAGGAAGACGTGCAAAGTGGGGACTGCTAGTAAGTTCAGGTGAGGGCTTTAGCGTTTTTAAACATTTTAGGTTATTTAATGTTTAAATTACATTTTTAAGTGTTTTTAAAATGTAATGTTTTAAACCCACTGCAAGTCTTCTCTGTTGCTTGGAGTTCCTTTTCTGTCCTGGTCTTGGTGGGGAAAGCTTCAAGGGAACCTCAAAGGGGAACAGGAAGCTGGAGAGCAGAAAACAAACAAACGCTTGGCGCTTGGCGCACCAGGCAGGTGAGTACTGATGCGGGTTCTCAGGGGCGTGGCCCATTCTGCCCTGCAGGAGGTTGGCCAAGGAGCCGGGCTTCCCCTTCCAAGGAGCTCAGAGCCTGTGCCTGAGGCTTGAGCCTCACCCCAACCCCCCTGGGGGAGGGGGGCGTGCAGTGGTGGCCCAGGCAGGAGAGCCTCAGGGCAGCATGTTCCTAGCTTTCTAGAACACGAGTAACATTGAGTATAATCTGTACTTGATATGTGCAAAATTCAAGTCCACTTTCAAGGTAAAACAGGAGACCTGTGAAATGTTTCACTTGGGGAGTTTACCTCTGGCCTCTGTTCATTGCCCCTCACTTCCCTTGACCTCTCCATGTTCTTTCCACTCTGTTTTTAGGACTCTGGTGAGGAAGGTTAGGGGAGAATCATCTTAGAGTTTCTTGAGCTCCGTGAGTTTACTTCCGGTGATTCGGAATCAAATACATTAAACTCTGGGACGGGGGTGACTCTCACTGGCTGGGCAGCTGGTTGGGGGCTAGGGGTGTGAGGCTGGCCCAGAGGAGGTTACAAGGGACTTTGGGGCCATCACAGCAGATACCTGCACACCTGTAGATACAGCCAGACAGTAGAGGCCAGGGGAAGGTGGAGGTTGGGAGGGAGTCAGGGTGGAGAGCTGAAGCTTCCAGAATGGAGGATTTGGTAATCCTAGAGAGCTATGACAATGGATTTCCCTCGCTTGACCCCACAGCTCCCCAAATGCATATTCATTGCCTTTGAACCCCTCCATGCAGCACAGATTCAGCTCTGACTGGCTGGAAGTGAGGTCAGAAGGTTAGCTGGTGCTTTCCCATCTCATCCCATCCAGAGTTCCAGGCCAAGATGGTCCTCGGCTCCCCGTGCTCCCTCCTGCCCTGTTTTCACTGTTCCTCCCTCGCTGAGGAGTGGCTCCGAAGGAGCGGCCAGGGGAGGTGCCCAGCCTCTTGGGGTCTCTGGTTCCGCCGCTGCTGCAGTGGGCTTGGGGAAGGGCTGCCTGCACTCCGATTGATCCACCAGCTGTGATTTGTCATTTCTCTGAGGCAGGCGC